AGGCCGTGGGTGCATCTCATCAGGTGGTATCTACTCTCCCAACTGATTTTGCATTACATCTTTCTCCAGAGAAGATATTGCAGACTCGCTCGGTGGTTCGCGATGATGTTCGTGTGTCTCAAGTGCTGGTTAAATGGAACAACTTGCCATTGGAACTCGCCACCTGGGAGGATTATGAGGCCATTCGCCAGGAGTTTCCAAGATCCACTGCTTGGGGGCAAGCAGCGACCAAAGGAAGGGGGAATGTCAGTACTCAGCTACCGAGTGCTACCTCAGAAGAGCCTACGAGCAAGACGGCCAGGATATCTCGAAGCTACGGGCTGACAAGCCAAGGCCCAGGAAGGTGAACCCAAAATACACTGGAAGGGATTGGGCCGTCTGATTTCCGCCTGTGTGTGTAAAGAGGCATGTCCTCTGTATCGGTATAAAGGGGAAGAGAACTCCAGGAAGGAGGCTATCGCGATTGTAATAGAATTAAAACTCGAGCTAATCATTCATCTGCCTATACTGTTCTTCTTCCTCCTCTGTATCTGCCTACTCCTCTCGTTACCCCAACTGCTACCTCTCACACTAGGGTACATCTGTAGCTACAGAAGGGCTGCATCGTGTCGTGGAGCAAGTCGTCGAATTTGCCATGTCCAAGTCCCAACCTCAGTAGGATCCCAAGAAGACGCGGTGGGCTAAGGAGTTTCCCCCCTTCTATTGTTAACCTCTCTAAAATAACATTTTAAAAATAATCTAGACAAACGTTATTTTTAGACCTAACTCTTTTAATTACATTAGTTCACGTTTTTTTCTCGATCACGCAAAAGATTTACGCATTTTTTGTGTTAAAAGAGAATAAATGAGTTTGAATAAAAAGGGGGCTGCTAAAATTTTCAACCAAGCTCTGGCCCACCCTCGCACCCCTTTGGCTAGCCTATTACTCACTGAAATAAGCAACCTAGGTTCACTCCCGCCTGCACCCAAAGCTCCGCCTCATGCTTGATTGTCAGTAGCGGCGTGGCTAGTTGGGTGGTGGCTCCGCGAAAGCACATTGCGTTTCTTTCTTTCCATAACTCCCAGGCCACCAAGACGAAGACAGAGTCTGCCCCCTTCTTGCACTCTCCTATCCAGAGGCCTCGCCAGGTGGCCACCAATCCAGGATTGAATGGCATGCCGGCAAGTGCCTTGTCTCGTGTAGCACTGCACGGACTTCCCACCACACCTGCTGGGAGAACGAGCAGGAGACGATGATATCGTCGATTGTTTCTGGCTCCTGTGCGTAGAGGAAGCAAAGTTCATGGGTGTCGAGGCCGTGGCGGCGCCTTTTGTCTGCAGTCCAGTGTCTTCTTCGCAGCACCAACCACAGGAACAGCTTCACCCTTAGCGGCGCCCAAGTGTCCGTCGCAATCGGGCAATGGGTGTGAGCTGAGATGGAGAGCTTCATATGCCGAACGGACCGAGAACCTGCCGTCTGACGCCCACTTCCAGACTAGCTGATCTGCCGCCTCAGTGAGGGCTATGTCCTGAACTTTGTTCCAGACCACTATGTAGTCGGCGATCAATTTATCGTGCCACATGCATTGGCACGATCAATTTATCATGTTGGCAAGCATGCATGCTGATTGGCAGCTCCTGTCACGCTAATCGGAGAGGTGCAACAATAGCACCGGAGTTGGGGCTACAGAGCAGCTGTCCGCTCTTCCCTATGCTATTTTCTACCTTCTAAATAAATTATTAGTTAAAATTTAAATTCCATAAAGCTTGACATATGGGCTATATATATTGTAAATGATCCATTTTAGTGATTTGCACAAAAAATTGCTATATGTTTCTGAATATTTAATTGCAAAGTATGCTATATGTCACTCATACTCATTCAACGAGGTGACTTAGCCTGAAAATTTTAGAAACGGTCAAACGGATTGTAATTTCCAAACCACTAAAAAATTAGAAATGTCATTTAAATTTTGGGGGAAAAACCTATAAGATATGATCAACAATATCAATATGTTCCATTTTGCTAACATACAAAATGATATCTTACATTTCTTTATAAAATCATTACATTCCCAAATGTGTCAAATGTTAAGAAATTAGTGCCCCGATCTAAATCTAACTTACACTCATACCAACAAAACTGAATGTTTAATGTAGCAGCAATGAAACTGTCGCACATCACCCCATTAACAAACTCAATGGATACTGATCACAGGTCACGTTCCCTGTCAAAAGCAATGGAGGAGACAGAAAAAAAAACCGTCAAAGATGTCCACCATTGTTGCTGCATGCGTGGGTGAAAGGAACATAATTTTTAGTTCTATAATCAATAATAAATATTCGCTACTAAGCCAATAACTAGATAACACATGTGTTACTTACGTTAGGAGATGAAGACATTTGGAATGTGACTTATCTTCAACCAATCCGTGCCTGTATCTTCTCTACACCTCTCTTTCAGCACAGGACTGCAGCCAGAGATGGTCAGTTCCTCCAGCGCAGTCAAGCACTGCAGACCTGTCGACAGAGAGACCAGCTTCGGACAGCAGCTCATCTCCAGAGATTCAAGCGCTAGAAGCTCGCCTAGCCACTCTGGAAGAGCCTCCAGTGCAGCACAATTCAGAATCCTCAGGCTCCGCAAGGTTGTAAGGGACCGGATGGCCTCTGGCAGAGCACCAAGCGTCTCACAGTACTCGATCACCAGATCCTCGAGCTTTGGTCTGTGCCGTAACAGTATCCAGCCACTAGAGGTAGCACGACAATTTCTGATCCAGAGTCTTCTCAGAAGCGACGGGGAAGCCGAAGATGGTCCGACGATCCTACTCACTGATAACATCTCGCTGCTGCTGGACACCGACAGATCTGTCACGGCATCTGGCAGGCACGGGCTTGGCCTCAGCCGTGGGCATTCTGTCACAGTGACAATTTTAAGAGCAGGGAATATGGATAGGTCTAATTGATTATCCGTATGATCCATTGCTGATGATGTTGGCCAGGCCTCAAGGTTGGGCATGTCTTCAAAGTGCAGTTCCTTCAATGATCGGTATAGATTACTACCATGTTTCGCCAACAATTATTTCAGAGCCCATGCTATTAACACCAGTCATGTGGCGGAGCTGAAGAGACTGGAGATACGGAAAATTACCAAACGGTGGAAGGCAACTACAGTTATGGATATTGCTCAAACTGAGGGAAACTATATTTGGAAGCCACAACTCCATGCTCTTCATCATCCAACTGGGAAACTTACTGCCCATGTAACCATCTATCTCAAGGATTTCAAGGTTTTCAGGTGGCACGAGAACTTCAAGAAATGTTTCGATGCTTGTGGGATCATCACATGGACATGAACTCCATGAGACCATGACAAAGTCAAGCTGCTTAGCTTTCTCTTGTTCCTTATGTTTGCTCTCAGTCGTCAGATCGTTCTTGTTTGACCAACACTCAATCCTCAGCTCACCAGTTAATAGATTGAGGTCTTCTAGCTCTGCAATACCGCTATGTTTGTCACCTACAATGAGTAAGGACAATGTTTCAAGTTTTTTCCACTGCCCAAATCCACTAGGCAGCGGCAGCCCCTCCAAAGTTCGGCATTGGTCATTTCTCAAGTGCATTAGATTGATATTTCTTATTATGCCACCAGGTAACTTAGTCAGCTGCTCACACCCAGCCAGGTTCAAACTCTCCAGCATCACAAGGTTAGACATGGAATCAGGAAATCTGAGTAGACTCCAGCATCGGAATAAGTTCAGGATCTTCAAATGGTGAAGATTTCCAATTGATTCAGGTAATCCCTCCAGACCAACATTCCAGGATAGATCCAAAGTCTGCAAAGTTTGGTAGAATACCAATTGATATGGGCAACGCCAAACTGCTTAAATGATGTGACAGAATGAGAACTCGGAGAGGCAGGGAAACGTTTTCAGAATCTACACTATACTATACGTAGTGTACGATTTAGAACGGAGAGGATAGTATACAACTATACTCTATACTTCCTCCGTTCTAAATTATAATTCACTTTAACTGTTGGTACATATAAGTTGTTATCTATCTAGATATACATTATATCGTTTTATCCAGATGCATAGCAAATTGGTTGTGTAAAAAAAATCAAAGTGATTTATAATTTAGAATGGAGTACTATATTTGATTAGGCGGACATAAAACAGAGTTTGTAGGCTATCGGGTAGGGCCATAGGGGCGTCCGGTCTAGGGACGATGATCACACCCGCGGGACCTATAAGTGTCTTCAGTTAGGATTCATGATAGTGTCCAGTCAGGTACGAGTGTCATATTTAGCCATGAGTGACCCGCGGGGCTCGAAATGTATATTTTTTTCCCACTCCAATTAGAGGTCTGGAAGTAAATTTTCCCACGGATTCTTATAGATTCTGTTGTCCACACAGTATGTACTACTAGAATAGACTTCAGTTGTTGTGAACTTCCGATTCATTGATAATGATAAATTGATAATTATGTGTTCTTTTCTTCCAAATTTTATATTTTTTGTTATTATGTTATGTATGTTAACTTCTTATTAACACCTGTGCGTGCGGGTGCGGATGTGACACTGCATCCGCAGATTTTTTTTTTATTAAAAACAGATGTTGTCGCATACCATGAACTTTTAGTCGAAAAAAAATACCACGAACTTTTTGTTGAGGACAGATTTTTACTCGACCCGCACCGTCCGCGACCGTTACGATCCATAGTCCCGGTCGTCATGCACGGGCTGCCCAAATTTGTCGGAGGACTCGGAGCCGGAGAGATATCCGGAGACGCCAAGGTAAGCACACCCTCAGACCCACCTGCCGGCGAGAGAGCCAGCCAGTTTGGTCCCACTGGACAGTGAGACCACTAAGCGCCATAGCCCGTAGCAAACGGTTCCCCGTTGGTATAGAACTATATAGATCCCACCTCCCCCGTCCGGCCGTGCCTCGCCTCTGCCTCCCTCCATCTAAAGTCGCCGACGACGACCCAACCAAAAGTCCACAGCCTTTTCCAAGGAGAAAGGGATGGGCTGCTGCAGCAGCCGGAGCTCCGATTCGCCGGCCAGCCGCGTGACGCGGTGGCGCTCCACAGGGATCGTCGCGCTCCGGGACGACAGATTGAAGGTTCGCGCCATCTCTCCCCCAAACTTTGCCCGCTGTCATAATTATGATTTTTCTTTTTCCGATTCTCCCAGCGTTTCTTAGGCTTCGCCTAATTTTGTGCCCTTCCAGTGATTCTGAGTTACTAGAATATGTCGTGGTGAAAGAATTATGAATGGGGCCTTTGTAAGCTGGCCTCGGCTGGGGAGATTTCCATGGCAAAGTATTAGTATAATTACTAGTACAGTAGTAGTACTTCATCGTCGTTAACAAATGTTGAGTTACTTCTTTGTGTTCTGCTTCTACAGTATTATTAGTACCTAATATAATCTCTAATTGTTAGGAGTAAACCTCGATCTTCTCCATCCATCGACACATTATGAGCAGAAATCCTGCTGGCCGCTTATATATATAATAAAGGGATAGTAAACTGCTATTATGGTTTGTGATTCTAGGCATGTTACTGCACGTAATGTTTTATTTGACAGATATGATTTAGTTCTGGTCCTGATTGTCGTGTCGTGACCTACAGCTGAATTGGTTCTTGATGTGTACAAACGCATGTACAGTGAAAACCAAATAGGGATAGGAGCAAACGCATGACAGTGAAAATCAAATAGGGATCGGAGTATATCTGGTATCTGGGTTACAAGGAATTATACAAGCATTTCCCCTCACAACTCAGAAAGTATCATCTGTTGCTAAACCTTTAAATATTGCAAAACATTTGTTATGTTCCACACTACCAGTCACTATTTCAGTGATGTATACTTCTTCAGTAGCAGTTGAAGGGGGCTTTCGTGGTTAAGCATGTTATCACCACTCGGTAGCTTGTAAGATTTCAGCGATATTTTTTTCTGCAGAGGATAGGTTGAGAATGTGTATCCCGAATTCCTGATATATAAGATTGATGCACAAACATGAAAAGTTCAAGGTCGACACTAGTACTTGTTCAGTTGCTTACCGTTCTGTATCTTTTTCTACTATATTTCTTCACATTTGAGAGATGCATATATTGCCAATTTATATGTGATGCCTCTACAAGCACAAGTAGACTTTCTCGAACATGCAGGAGAGCTGCATATCTTTGTATTATAGGGAAAAGCACAAGTAGACTTTGTACACCTCTTTTACTGAATATCACGTTTTTCTCTTCCAGTGTTGTTTTATGTAAGTGTTCTCTTGCAGGAAGTGCCAAATGAAGTTCTACAAGTGGGCAATTCCTTGAGAACTCTGGACTTGACAAATAACAAGCTAGGTAATCAGATTTTATTCGTACCTGTTTGTTACATTCAGCTTTCAATGGACATATCACAAGTACAAAAGGAATTTTATGTTTTACTAATCTTCAATGTCAGTGTTGTTTGTTTTTCTTTCATTTGTTGGTACTTAGCTATCGAAGTACTTGTCGACAGATATTTGTTGTTCTCTCTCTTTTATTATTCACATAAGTATCAGTTGTGGGGACATCTTTTCTATTTCACTTACCGGTTTGGTAAAGTACATATACTTGGAGCAAAATTGCTACAGCTAAGTTCTTTTCATTATTTTTCCTCATGGGGAATTCTTCCACAGCTTCTCCAGAGAAGTTTCTCCTCTTTTGTGGAACTGAGAAAGATTATTCTTAGCACCTCGCATGGGCATAGTTTCTGAATATGAATCCAAATAACCTCACCTACTATAAACCGCATGTGCTCTTTTTTTTATATATATTTTATATTTATTATGCTTCTTGTGAGCAGTGTTAATTGTTTCTATTTTATGTTGCAGTTGAGATTCCCCAGGAAATTGGCAGACTTGTGAATATGCAAAGGCTTGTAAGAGTTTCCATCATTAGAAGTCATCATATTTATTATCCGATTAGAAATGCATGCTGAAAGAATGATTCTTCCTTCTAATGTATCCCTGTCTCTTGAATTATGGTTGTTTGGAGTGAATTATTTTGTCCTTTTCTGTTTCTGTAGGTTTTGGCTGGTAATTTGATTGAAAACATCCCAGCTAATATTGGATACCTGCGGAATCTTAAAATCCTCACACTTGACAGAAATAGGATCTCTATCTTGCCTGAAGAATGTTAGTTCCTACAAACCTATCTTTCTCTAACACAAATACACATGGAAGTGAAATATGCAAAGTGTTATTATTATATGTTTAGCTACAACAACTAACCTTTGTGAAGGTGTTACAGCCTTCATCTTAGCAATTAGAGATTTATAACAGTCATACTCTAATTAGTATGGCCTCCATTTCTAACCTTTCCTTTTTTTTCATCCAGTGGGTTCGCTGTCAAACCTTCAGCAACTTTCTGTTTTTCAAAATTCTTTACTGTGCCTGCCTAAGAGTGTAGGAGATTTGCGCAAAGTAAGTTTCCGATTTGGCTAAAAGATGCCGAAATCTTTTTCTTATTTTTGGAAGTCCTTGAGAGTCATGTCTGGTCACTCAAAAAAAAATATGGATAGCTATATACGACAGAAACAAGAATTTATTCTTTTGTTTCGTCAAATATAAATATCTTGATTCTAAATTTCATTATCTGAAACTAGTTCATCTTGATAAATTCCATCATTTTTTCCATTCATAGCAAAAGTTTTCTGAAGTTTTTATTTATAATGGTCAGTGCTCTATCTGATTACTGGGGTACTGTTATTTTACTTTGTGTAATGCAGATGTCACTACTCAATGTATCTGATAACAAACTGAAGGAACTTCCAGAATCAATTGGAGCTTGCAGTTCCCTGGAAGAATTTCAGGCCAATGGTATTCATCAGTTCCTGCAATTCTACCTTGATCTCATTTCAGTCCCCCACCCCTTCCTTTTCTTTCATGTGCATGCACTCAAGAACACTGTTATACGATTAATCCTATATGGTATTTTTACCTTCTTACCATTTGCCAATCTACAAAAAGTTGGGGTGTCACAATCGTATCCTCCTAGGATGCTCTTCTACTTTATGATTGGAGTAAAGGTGGACCTTGCTCTGTTTGGAACACAAACTCAGCATGCACCACAGCAGAACATGGGTGCTGCAGAACATTTATCTTTCTCATCTCCTATGGTAGCACCTACAGTCCATTTGACAAGGGAAAGCCATGCACCCTTTTGTGCACCTGTGGTGAAATAAATTAAATAGGATTTAGGCATGTAGCCATTGATAACAGATACAAAATACAGCATGCTTTTCATTTCCTTGCATCTCCTACCTCTGGAACTAATCTTGAAGCAAAATATTCAGGAAATGCTATTGAAGATGTGCCATCGTCAATTTGCAACCTAGTTTGCCTTAAATTCTTATCACTGAATGGCAACAAAATTCGTCAGGTATTATGCACTGGATATTTGTTGTTCAGTTACAACAAAATTGCAACAGCCTGTCACCCAACTTGAACTTGCATTTTCAGCTTCCGCAAAACTTACTGAAAGACTGCACGGCTCTTCAGAATTTGTCGCTGCACGACAACCCAATCACAATGGACCAGTTCCAACAAGTAAGTTACATGCAGCATCTAGAGTGTTCCTGCACCCTAGGCAATCTTGTCTTGGTTATAGTCCATTTTGTTTTTTCGTATTTGTTGCAGATGGATGGATTTGAAGAGTTTGAGGCACGCAGAAGGAAGAAATTCGACAAGCAGATTGATTCAAGGGTCATGATGGGCTCCACGGCCCTGGATGAAGGGGTTGATTTCCACTGATTTTAGAACTCAAGTGACTTCCGTTCTTTCTAATTGGTCAGGACCGTAGATCTGTACATATCGGTCTCACATCCCGCAAAGAAAAACAACGGACACGCATATCATTACACATATAAATGAACTGAATTCGTCATTTTTTCTTGTAACCAACGCTGTAAGTGGCCCTGTACATCTTGTGTACATATGGCAACGTATTGATTGCATTTGGCGCTCTTCGCCATCTTTTTTGCTCTGCTACTGGTGAGGTCCATCTTGACAGCTACCGTTGCAAAGACATGGCAACTGAGTCTGCAGTAGTACTTGGCTAAGCCAACACAGATTCCACCCTGATGATGCAAGGGAGAAAAGGAATTCAGTTGTGACTCGTGAACAGGACATTATTGGTGGTGCCTTCACTTCACCATCGCGGGCTATGAGAAGCCACAATGCCCGTCTTTTCTACTTTTGTGTGTCGTGTGATAAACAACACTCACTAGACACTACAAAGCTTCAATGCATTGAAGCATAGAGGAGGGGGAGGGGGAGGAAAATCACAGGAATCAAACGTCGGTGTGCTCGCTGCAACTTTCAGCTACTTGTTCGAGCACTGTTCATACTATTTTACTTCTGTTGCCTCCACTGTTCATCCAATTTGTACTGTCCATGAATGCCGCGCCTAACAGGGCTAGTTGAAGCAACGGTTGGGCCCAGTTCCTTGAACAAGGCAGTTCGCAAGAGTGGATCGCAGCTGCTTCGACAAGACAGGTTGAGAATACGAATAAATGTGAGGGTTGTCATTGTCATGCTCTACACAACTGAACGGTAGCTTGATTAGATAGCATCCGAAAGAAAAACTATTGAGAATACTATTCCAACAGGATTGATCTGTAATTAAGTTTGAGAAATGACAATTCTTGCTTCAGAAATGATTTGTGTGAGCTCTGTTATTACTCTGTACTCCTACAAGGCAAGCAGCGCCATGTGACCGCTCTGAGCCTGATCACTCGATATAGCAGTCACGCGGCCTCGCCCGTCACTTACCCCAGCTCCTCTTTCTGTGCAACCTCTAGGGTACACTCCGTCCCCGTGTTCGTTTGGACTTGTTTGACTGATAAGCTATGGCTAAAAATATTATTGACTGATTTTGTATGAAAAAAATATTATTCGTTGGCTTAAAAAAATACTAGCTTATAAGCCAACCAGTTCAAACGAATAGGGCGCGTATAGCCCACCATCGGCCCATCGCTCTGGGTCCAGTACTCCGGTGCCCCCATCTTCTTCTACCCTCTTTCTCTGTCTTTCCTCTCCCCTTCTGCTTTCTTGCCGATCCATCAACGCACGGCAACCAAAGACCAGAGAGCGGCCGGAGACTAGAGTTCGCGGTGACGCCATGCCGGCTGGAGTTGGACAGCCACCGCGAGGCTCCAGCAGAGAGCGGACGGCAGCAGCCAACAGGTTTGGCTCGCATCCACTGTTCTTCTGTTCATATATGATATTTGAAACAACAAAAAACATAGGAACGCCCTGAATTCGATTCACTTAGTATATCCCATGCCAAAACTTAAAGCCAGCATGGTGCTTATTTCTGTGCAGAGCTGGGACTGGCACGGAGGAGGAGATGGCAGGTCTCAGCAACTTCGAGTTTTTCAAGATCCTGCTCCCCGGAATGTACGAGGAGGCACTGGTAAGGTGTTTTTTCTCTTGCTAGCGAGTAGCGAGGCACTGGCAAGAGAATTGGCACGGGAGACGAGACGGGGGGTTTTGCTACTACGATCTGCGCTGAATCTCATCAACTGGGCCGGGGGTTGCTAGCGAGGTCTTTCTCTTTGCTTTACTTGATTGTCTTCCGCGCAGAGACTGCCCACTAAGTTCGCTCCAGTCCTCGGAGCTCGCCGGGACCTCAAGCTGCGGCTTGCCGGCGGAGAGATGATGCCACTGTGGGACGTGGAGGTCTTCGTCGACGAGAAGCACGGCGACATGTACCTCCGCAAAGGCTGGAAAAAGTTCGCCCGCGCCCACGACCTTCGCAAAGGGTACACGCTCTTCTTCCGCTACGACGACGTCCGCGGCGACCTCATCGTCACGGTCTTTGACCTTACCACCTGCCGCAAGGAGTATCTGCACGCCGGCGCCGGTGGTACGTACTACGTCCCCGTCCATCCAACCTCTCTCGTCTGCAGCGCGGTCTAAGGACCAGAGACAAACATAAAACCTTCTGCTCGTGTGCCCAGGCGGCGGAAACACCAACTCTGGCGCCGGCGCCGGCGCCGGCGGACGCTCGCTGCCCATCGCGGAGCCGTCTCATTTCGCCGTGACCCTCAGGCAGTGCAACCTGGAGGCGAAGCAGAACCAGTACCTGGTGAGCCGTCTCGTCTCTCATGTCAATTCTTTCGCTCGCCTAGATCGTAGCCCATGCACACACCACTCGCGTCTCATCGTCTCATGTCTTGCGGCGCAGAACGTGCCCGTGGAGTTTCAGGACGCGCACGGGTACGTGCGCCGGCGCCGGGTGGAGCTGCAGATGGGCGGGCGCTCATGGACGGTGAACCTGAAGCGCAGCAAGCGGCTGCTCGGCGACCGCTCCGCCTTCAAATACGGGTGGCATCAGTTCTGCGTGGACAACCGTCTCGAGGTCGGCGACGTCTGCTTCTTCCGGGTGATCCGCGAGGGCAGCGGCTGCGGCGACGAAGATGAAGAGTGGGAGCCGGAGGAGGAGGACGATGAGCACGTGCTCAAGGTGGAGGTGCGCAAGAACAACGGCACGTTCGTCTCCTGATCTCATCGCAGCGCGGTGACGTCAACCTCAACCAATATGTGGGCGATGAGAGCGGTTCCTGCCACTGTCAGTAGGAATTCGCTATGAGTTCTGTGCTTCTGATGGATTAGATTGTTCATCTGGACCTGTCATTGACGTGATCTCTGTTCTGAAATTACTCTAGCGTTATATATGCTGGTGGGTTTGATGGATTGTAATAAGATGAACAGCGTCCAAGATAAGGGCCTGTTTAGATTCCAAAAAATTTTGCGCAGTGCTCGTCACATCGAATTTTGCGGTACATGCATGAAGTACTAAATGTAGACGAAAAAAAAACTAATTGCACAGTTGGGTGAGAAATCGCAAGACGAAACTTTTGAACCTAATTAGTCCATAATTAGAAACTAATTACCAAATACAAACGAAATGCTACAGTGAGCCAAAATTCAAAAAAATTTGGATCTAAACGGGGCCTAAGTTAGTAGCTCGTACTACTATGATGGTGGTCATGGAATCCCTAAAAGCTTTGGTTCGTGAAAAGCTTAGATTGAGTGTGTTGCTCGTACTTGATGTGCAAAATTATTCTTGGAAGAAGATTTGTGCATGCCCTTCGAGTGCTGTCCCTGTCCCATTTGGCTGTGCTGTCGAACCGGCTGGCGGCAGCACGTCATCTCGTCTTGCAGCTGACCCCGGTCTAGCTAAACAATAATGCAATGTGCTGGATCTTGACGTCAGTAATTGGGACATGTGGCTTGTGACACATGAACATCGCATATATAACTGGAGGTCGTGTACTTGGACAATGTACACCCCCAAGCATTTTCTTACTTCTGATAAATATTTTCCGGGGAGGGGAAATGCGCATGTGACACATCGCGCATATATGACTGTAAGTCAAATGATTTCCTCACATATGACATATGCAGTGTATAGTAGCGATTAGGCTAAATAAGCCTTATAGCAATTAGCAACGTATGTTCAAGGAAGGGGAGTACACATGACGGAGGCACGCAACATTGCAGCAAAGGGCTGGGGAACGTGTACTTGTACATTGGACAGAGAGGCAGCAGCAAGGGCAGCTTGCATCGCTTGACAGACACTGACCTCTACTCATGGCCTCATGGGTAGGCTGTACTGTAGGCGTCAACTTTCCTGCCCCGTTTCCTTTTCACAACACTATGCAAGCCTTGGCTACTATGTTGATGGCTTTTTTCTCTTTTGGTAGCGACAAGTGTTGATAGCTCCCATGTGTGAAGCTTTGAACAAAGAAGCTTGTGGCTTGTGGGCACTCTCTCTGCTCTACGTGTCTCAATCTCAATCGACGAAGCTCTCATGTTTTTTTTTAGTGGAACACGAAGCTCTCATGTGCGAAACCGGGCCTGTTCTTCTCTGCACTGTAGTGTGGAACAGGCTTCCAGCCCCTGGGCCACACGCAGTTTCAGCCTATTGGCCTCGGCCTGTTAGTGTGCGAACGGAATAGTGACCCAGAACACCACCGCGCGGTCGACATGGTGGCGAATTGCGATTTCGCTGCCTCTTTTTTCTTTTCCCGTTTTTATAAATAATAAATCAGCCCGAAAAAAAGACGCGGTCGTGGACCGAACAAACCTTTCCCCAAAATTTCCCCTCCCCCCGCACCGAACGAGCTCTCGATCCGATCCCGATCCCGATCCCTTCAGGGCGCCGCCTCGGCTCACCGATCCGGCCCCGGATCCGCTCGTCGCTCGACAGGATCTCTCGATCGGTACCAGCTTTGCCCCCTCTCTTTGATTCCGTAGGTTCCCGAGGTTAGGGTTTGTGGGGGTGGGTTTCGGGCCCCGATCCGCTCGATTGTGGACGGATTTTGCACGGGGACGCCGGATCTGTGCGTGCCCTCTAGGTTTCACCTCGGATTGTTGCGATTTCTCGCGTCAATTTTGCGTGATTTTTCTGGTGGTCGGATGCGCGGCTAGGGTTTCGTTCGGTCCAGAGATGTTTGTCTCGTGCTCGCGAATTCGTTAGGGTTTCATGCCGCGATGTTCGAGTCTGTTGCTTCAATTAATTATTGCACGAACAAAAACGTTGTTAAGTTACTCGTTACAGACGGCAATTCATCTGTGCCCTTCATCATGGTAGTTGAATATGCACTGTGCATTTGGTCTGGAGTGACCTCAATAAGGTGTTAATTTTGACCTAGCATATAGCTTAAATCATTTATTGTTCCTCCTGAATTGGTGCTTTCCTTTCAGTTTCGTCCTGTTGACTGTTTGCTAATTAATAACTAGGCCATGTTTGTAATTAATTATTTCATTCTATGCTCTCAGGAGTCTGGACAAGCATGCTGCACCAGGAGAACAGTGAGGCTTTCGTGAGGCACCACTCTGAGCAGCTTGCATGTGGCAACATGAGGGGAGCAGATAATGGTCGTCCAAATTTCCTTCCTGTGAAATGCCAGATTGCAGGTAATGACTGAGCAGCATCCTCTTTGCTGCCCTAGACTGGCTAGACATTTGTCTTGACTCTAATTCAGGTTTAGTTTGTCCTGAAGTTTGCCAAACGGGTGAAAAGGTTGGCCTATTTGATGAAGAGCTGGTACATGGTGTTCATCTAACCAATCCTACTGTTCAGTCACCATTGGCGCCAAGTGGTGTCAAAGAAACACCTATAGTCGATCATAACAAGAGACCTGCATCCAGTGACCTGCTGGACATAGTTGAATGCAAACGGCTGAAGCAGGAAGATCAAAGTAATAACTCCATCCTCCCTTTACCAGTAAATAAACTTGTCTTTCCTGAAAGTTTGTGTATGCAGAGACAGTTAGATAATGTACTTGTCTTTCGTTTATTCCAGTCGTAACTAAGGAAGACAACCATACATCTGCTGAGGATGATTTTCATGAGAGCCCCACATACACGACCGGTGAAAGAAGCTTTGACTCACCACTATATGAGAGTGAGGAAAGTGAAGATGAGGGTGTAGATTCACCTCTCCATTATTCACATGCTCACACCTATGTTGAAGATGATATATGGCCTGCCAGCTTTCATCAATCTGTGGGCCCTTTTCCCTCGAGGAAACCTGTTCCTATTGGGCCAAATCATCAGGCTGAATTACCTGAGTGCAGGCCATTTGGTGGAAGAACTGAAGAAGGTGAAAGTGTCAAGTGGATCAGAAACGTTGTTGTGCCAATGCCTGGTACTGATGAATCGTCTTTGGTGTTGGAACCTGTTCACTGCAAGGCAGGCTGTGATTGTCTTGATGAAGGTTCAATCAATTGTGTGAAAAAGCATGTGAGGGAAGCAAGAGAAAAGCTGAAGGGTGCTGTTGGTGCAGACACCTTCAGGGAGTTGGGTTTCTATGATATGGGAGAAGAGGTTGCCTCAAGGTGGACAGAAGAGGAGGAACATTTGTTCCAGCAAGTGGTCTCGTCAAACCCTGCTTCTCTGCGCAGAAACTTCTGGGATGAACTCCCTCTTGTCTTCCCTTCCAAGTCCAGCAAAGAACTAGTGAGCTATTACTTCAATGTTTTCATGTTGAGGAAGAGGGCTGAGCAGAACAGGTTCGACCCAGTGAACATCGATAGTGACGATGACGAATGGCAGGCAGGTGGTGATGGTGAGTTTCCAATCACAGGAAGAGCTGATGAATACTTGCCAGCTGAGTCCCTTACTGATCAAGATGATGTTGCATGCAATCCGGTTCCTCTGGAGGGGGATTTCTATGAAGATTCTGATGATGAGGATGAGCTTGACAATGCCAGTGGAGACAGGCATAATGGTGTGCAGAGGGCTGGTATGTTGTCAGAGGGCCATCCTGTAATGTCATTTATTGATCATAATCAACAGACGTTCAAGCTAGATGCAGATGCACAAGATGACTCTTGCACATCATTTGAGGTTCATCAGGTTGGTGTTGAAGGTGGGACACATACTGATATTGCTGATGACAATCACTACAGGAGTGACGGCTTTGGTGGTGGTGCAGAGCATGGGTTCTTTGGTGATCATTGTGACACAAAAGAGTGGGACTTCGGTTTCAGTACCGGTTGGGAGAAGCATGATTTTTTGTCAACAAACAATGTCATAGAAGAGGTGTTCGGAAAGGGCTCCAGTGAAGATGGGAGTGACACTGCAACTGGCCAGGACCTTATCTGAGCCAGAGGCAGAGGGCTTCTTTCTGAACTGCGAAAACTTCAGCAGTCCCCCTGTTCTCTGAATTTGTACAGGTGTAGTTGGCTATTTTGATTTAATGTCTCACATGTTCTTATAGGAATCTCTCATCCCTGTCCTTGGAACATCATCTGCTTGTGATTTCGGTCGCATGATTAATGTAAATCCGTAGATGATATCATCTGCCGATGATCTGTTGTTAGGCTGTAGCATGTACGCATCATCTTTGTTGTGACAGTGTCTCTTGACCTGAGCATTTTTTCCATGTGACAGCGAGGGTCATGTAATAAAAGCTGTTGTTCCTTGACCCAACATCTCCCTCACCCGGTCTGCGAACGAGTGACCAGCCCGTCAATGTACTCCTCCCAAACGTCATTTTTTATCTGAAATTTGTTCGTTTCCGCGGCTCGTTCGTCATCTCTCTCTTTCTTTTCTTTAAAAAAAACATGCCTCGCGTTTAAACACGCATCGCATCCTGTATTATGATCACCTTTACTGAAAAGGTATATTCCTTGCTAGCTAAAAAGATTATAATTTATCGAAAATAGTAAATCTAACATAGATTGATTCTGCTTTAAGCAACGCATTTGACTACAGTTATTACAGCAAATTCAACTCAAATATATGCAGGACAAACGATATCAATGTACTGTAACTATAAGTATATAACCGCAGTTCCTGAGAGGCAACCCTGGTGTTATCGAGCTTGTAGAAGTTGCAACTGCACTATTAGAGTCCATCGAAATGGTTCCAAATGCATCAACGAAAACTGTTTGACAACTCAATTTGATTGGAAGTAAGCTACTACTGTTTGTATTGAAAGGAAATTTACATCACCAAGAAAATATAAAATAATTTGAATCGCTGCCATTTTTTTATGGGTACAAGATACCCTTCATTGGAAGTGATGAAACATTCAGCCTTGAGCTTATCTTATTTGAGAAAAAGGGGGACTGAAAACTGCTGAGGCTCTCCATAAGCAATATGATATGTTGGATACACCTCCCGAAGCAGCATGGATTGGTCACAAATTTACCTTGCTGGTTAAAATTCTATCCAGCAAGAGTATAAATACAATTGATCCATCATTTGAAGTTGTTCTGATTAAGCAAAAATTTGGAGAACAGCCAACCATACCCACTGTCAGTCGAGATGATGGTCTATCAATGAGAGCAAGCTCAACAAAATTTCAAGCTGAAGAACTACCACTCTTAGGCCCTGTTTGGTTGGGCTTTTGACTTTGGCTTTTGGCCTCAAAAGCCAAAAGCCCAACCAAAGGGGCTGTTTTTGGAGGGTGCTTCTTCAGAAGCAGCTGCTTTTCCGTAGTTCATTTTTTAAAGCTGGGTTGACCCTGCTTTTAGCTTTCTGCTTTTCGAAATTGGTGGAATAAAAAGCTCTTCCATAGTTGTTTCAAGAGAGATAAAGATAAAAGATATATTTTATACTTGTTTAACCAAACAGTTTTCAGCTTTTCTACAGCTCACAGCCCACAGCAGCTTTTCCACAGCTCACAGCCCACAGCAGCTTTTTCCCACAGCCACAGCTCAACCAAACAGGACCTTAGTACCCATAGGCTCCAAAAAAAAAATCAAGAGCAGGTATCCATAACATTTTATATTCATATCAACTGCTAAGATTTCCCCCCCAATATAATACTCATACTATGAATCATATAGGCTTCATCTTCACGACTTAAGTTCATGCAAACATACACGACATGGAAATCGACTCATCCAGGTATGACTACCAGCAACATTTCACTTGTTTTAGTAATGATGAAAGAATACACTTGTAATTGGACTTAATGAAAATTTTACTTTCTTTGGCGAAAGTGATGACTCAAACAAGAGAGCTCTTGACTTGACAGACGATGAGGATCAGGTACCTTTACCAAAAACATAAAGTTTGTCCTAATATTTTACATATTATTACAGTATTTAATGCTTAATATGTCACGGGAGGACAGTTTGCTCCAGCCAAAAATAAAGAGGCCACGGTGACGGATGCAGCCTTAAAAGTAGTTGCGTTGGACTTTTGATCAGACAGTGAATCAAGAAACAACTGCTTTTGCCAAATTTTTATGTTAATCTTTTGATGACTCACTAATTAACGTCAGGCTATTCTACTGCATTCTAGCAAGCCTGTATCTTTTGTTGTACGTATTGGACGGTGTATACAGCACTCCAGTACCGTCCCTTCGAGTTCAATGCCGTAGGATTGGATGGACACTTCAGCACCGTACAGTTTTTCTCCAACTGAATCTTGCTCCCATGGCGTTGGAGTCTATACAGACTTTTGTTCTAGCAATTAGAGATCCGCAACTTCACATCTATCTTACCATGGACACTCGATTATCTAATCAGCACTGAGGCCCAGTTGTGCTTGGTTACACACAGATCAAAACAAGAAGTGGCCACCTAGTGACTGCGCGGCGAGCGGTTTCTAGTACTAGCAGTTTTTTGGTGACGGGGATCACCGTTGAGACAAACTAAACCGAATCTCTTCCTGGATTGCTTATGTACACACAAAGCAATGAAGAAGTTTTGACTGGTGCTGAGAACATCTACATCTACTTCATTCTTGCAGAGGTTGCCCTCCAGAAAGGCCTTGAGCTGGAACAATGTGAGCATGATCAGCATTGAATCGATTTATCAAAGCAGTGTTAGTGGTCCTTGAATTCGTGGTTTCTGAAAATATAACCTGCGCATTTGTTGAGGCGATTAGTCGGGCGAGGTGGAGCATTTTAGGGCTGCCGAGGTTCCCGCCCGAACCCCGGCAGTTCCACGCCAGTAGACTCCTGACGCCACGAAGGCTGGCGCCGAAGTCTGTTGAAGCTGTTGTTGAGGAAGCTGGCTGTGCTCAACAGCAGTCGGAGGCTGAAGTTCGGCGGGAGGGGGATCTTGAGCCGCATCAAGAACTCTGTCGGCGAGTTGCTGGTGCACATGCTCAAGAAGACGACGCTGACCCATGCCCCCGATTGGAAGACGGACAGGGTGAGCCTCCCGATCTCGTGGATCCCCTCCGTTGCTCTGGCTCTCCAAAGCCCACCTGATGGTCGGGCCATGGAGGTAGGAGGAGGCGAACGTGGGCCCCTCGAAGCGGTGCGCCTCCTGCGGACCCAGGCCACTAGGAGGGGGGCGCATGGCCTCTCCCAAAGCTTTCCTAGCAGTACGGCCAGTAGAGTCAGCAGCAGGGTCTGGATGGGCCTGTCGATGAGATCCTGAAATTGTGGCGTGAGCCAGCCGCGGAGAGCCGACGCCGAGAACTCCGGACCGGTCCCTCTGGATGGCGACTCACCGGCGGGTGGAGCGGTGCTTAGGGGGCACATCTGGTCCTGGAGCCAGACCTGCGGTGGGGACATGGCCTCTTCAGGCCATGTGGGAACGCGGCGAAGAGGAGGCGCGGCGCTGGCTGGACTGGCGGAGTCCGCCATGGCGAGGAGGCTTTGGCTGAGTGCGAGGGCGAGGCAGAGCGCTGCGAGGAGGAGGGAGCGAAAGAGTAGGCCCGCCATGGCGAGGAGGCTTTGGCTGAGTGCGAGCCTGCGAGGGCGAGGCAGAGCGCTGCGAGGAGGGAGCGAAAGAGTGGGTTTTGCAGGGGTTTTGTAGTGAGGAGTTTGGGCTTGCTGGGATGCAGTCGGTGGTGGCTCGGGTGTTGGAGGGGTCACCAATACTTGTACTCCTATCTATCATTAGTACGCGGCCAGGACTTGTATCTAAAGGCACGCAAGCAATTCAGGGTCTGGCATGGCTTATGCCGGCTTCGGCTTCATCTATTTTACGTAAATCGAGATATTGTAGCATGAGATCGTTTTGTAAGTCGGGGTTAAAATGAACTAGAAGCCAAAAAAAGCTAGTTTTTCTGACTTCACCGACTTTGGCTTCACCAGTGAAACCGTTTTGGATGAACCGTGTCAAAAGAGGCTTCAGGCGAGCCAGGAGCTCGTATTGTACTCCCTTCCAATGCAATTTTAGTATAGTGTGATGATTTAGTATTCTAAGTTCGATTAATTATAAATAAAAAAAATATTAATATTTATAATTTTAAATAAATATTATTATATTAATTTCGAAATGTATTTTTATAATAAATTATTTTAAAGCTATAAATATAAATAATATTTACTAAAAATTTAGTTAACTGTGAACCACTTTGTTGGCACGTACTTCCTCCGTCCAAAATTATTTGTACTTCTAGGACCTAGCACGGTAACCAAGATAGATCAAAAATTACCAAAATACTCCTATAGATGTCAGCCAGGTGCAGAGGTACGGTGGTGCTGTGTGGAGGCGGAAGGAAGTTCTGGAGTATGGTAAGCATCGTCTACTATTTCTTTTCTTTTTTTTACACGCATTGACGATGGATGAGGGTCCTGGAAACCTCCAGAGTCCAGAGTACTCCGCTGTACTATGCCGAACTTGTTGTCCGGGTTCTTTTTTTTTTTTGACACAAGTCGATTGTTTTTTCTCTGGTCCCACCGGCTGGTTCATCTGACAGCCTAGAAGTGCATGCTTCCACCTACGTGCTGGTTCAAATCTTTTGAACCATAGACGTCCAATTAGACAGAGGCAGCGCTCCAGGATCATCACTAGCACGCGGCCAGGAGCAGCGCTCCAGGAGCATTCGCGCGCCACAGCGCCGTGCCGCCCTGCACGCCGCCCCAGAGGTGGAGGTCGCCCACACGACCAGCTCCGAGTTCTGACAACACCATGGCTGGCTCGTGCGGTCACGTCGAGTTTCTCTACACGGATCTTCTCGTGGCCATCGTGATGTGCGCAATAGCATGAATCCGTGGCCACGTCATCGGTTCTCTCGTGCGGTGCCAGGCAGCAACCGAGATGAGCGCAGACCATCATGTGTCGCCGCTGGCAGCCCCAGTGAAACAGGTTTTGGATCAATCAATCAACCTGTACTGCTCGCATACTTATACACGTACAAGGTCCCTAACCCCTAACCTTACACGAGAGGAGGCTGAGCCAGCAGCATACCTCGCAGAGAGGAGGTGCGAGCGCGGCAGCAACGAGTGCGCGTCGTGGGAGAGCGAAGGACGCAGACTCCCGGAGGAATCGGTCTGGCCGTTGAACCGTAGCGGGCAGTGGATGTTTCCGTTAACACCCAGCCCCTGCCACGCGCTAACGCTACCTGCTGGCACAGCCAACGCCACCATCGACCTCGGATCCGTCGGCGACCCCTAAACGCTAGGCTTGGCTCGGCTGCTCGATCGGTAGCACCGCGGCAAGGTGCGGCAGTCGGCACGGCTGCTCTGTTGTGTCAAATCAGGTGGGAACAGGTGGAGGCCGTGGTCGTGATGCATTTGCTGCTCTGGCAGAGGTGTCTGGCCTCGGGTCCGCCGCTCTGAACCTGTACTAGGGGCGCGCGCAAGTGATCATACACATTTTTTTAAACAAACGGTGGACAATAAAAATAGGCAGCACATATTACACTGGACACAGAGGCTATCCATACAGCATCTAAATATTCCAGGAGGTAAAGCCACGATGGAATGATAGGTGTCTTACATAATTATACGTAAAAGTGCCAGGGCCAGGTTGACAATGAAACATAGTTTGAGAAATTTTGCAGACACCTAATACAAACATGTCCGAATGGGTTAAAAAAAAGATCCATCTCATGATTTACAACATATCTACATTTAATGCTCCATGCATGTTTAGAAATTCAGAAGACCAAAAACTTGAAGGGGCACCAGCTTTTTGACCGATCTTGGCAGCTTCAGTGGAGATGCCAAAGGAAGGGGCACCAGCTCGATCTGACTCAAAGCTACGAGCGGGTGAATAATATGAGAGTTTGCATGTATAGATATTAGTGTGTATCATGTTAGTGGAAGCGCACAGCTAGAAAAGCAGAGGTGTAGCTGCTGATGTACCTCGGGGCAGGTAGAAAGGCTCGTTAGAGAAAACGCTATATGAGGAAGAGCTGCTGTCCGATGCATATCTGTGGTATCCTGCACGTTCAAGCCTTCTATTGGCTGCAAGTCATACAGAAGCATTATGACTAAACCGCTAAGACACAAAACGCTAATGTGTTATGAATAGTATCTTTATGCTGCCAAGCATAGGTTTCTTGAAGCACTTCCCTGTCGTAGCCAAGTTCCTCGGCTAATTCAAATAGTGGATGAAACAGCGGTGAAGATAAAGGCAATAGAAAAAGACAGTAATGAAATATGGTGTCAGTGCAATCAAAGGTAGAATATATGATTATCACCTGTGTCAAAGGATGCAACAGAACCAGCTGAGCCAAAGTTAGCTGGATTGGCATGGACCTCGTTCTCTACAAACGCTGGTGCCTCAGAATAGTTGTAGGTTACCATCATGACAGGAAACACCATGTTGCCCGTGCGGGCCTATGTATTGTAAACCGACCTCACCATACTTTGGGATAGAGTCTTTGTTGAATGCGTATGCATCGACACGGCATACGCATTTAGACTCGTTGAAGTTATGAGCCTACATGCTGCAGTGGCGCTCAAGCAAGGGTCCTAAGGCAGTTGGATTGAATACATGCGGCGGAAAGCCATCAATGTCTATAGTTACCTCGGTCTGCCAGTCGACAGTCCTGACGCCATATCGGTTTGACCATCTGACAAGCAGCGTGTCGAAATCCTTGCCATAGAGGACTTCGGACGATACAACAAGGTCTCTCTCATGGCTGGAGGCAAACCGAATCACAAAATCGGAGCGGAAGCGTGTTATGGCAACAGGCAAGGCATCGGATCCAAACCGGTTCTCGATAGCAAGCCGAACATCGCTAATGCTAGGATTTGCAGTGTTTGGGTTGACATCTAAAGCAACTACTACGTTGACAAGCTGTGCTTCTGCTGCTTCTGTCGTGGCGTTTGGCTAGATGACAGAAAGTCCAGGAAAACCACGGCATGCCTATATTTTCCAAACAACAGTAAAGTTCTGAGATAGGAACGTCACAGTTATGTAGCTATGTATCTACTCTCTAACTAAGAACGGAGCATTGTCAGTAGATCGAAATTTAGTAAAGTAATATACCATCTGGTGGGGTTCTTTGAGGAGATCTGTCGGAAAGCGATGAGATGCAAAGCGAATCTTGGAACCTGAAAGTTAGGCACACACACCGAGCTCGTGAAATACTGAAGCACAGTATCGCTAAGAGAAATTAAGAAGATGTGTAAGGACAGGCAGAGCAGAGCGACTGGAGGTGTTAGGAGGGGCGGGGAGTACCTACGGTGGAGCACCTGCACAGGTCCGGTGCAGCTGATCCGCGTCTCCCACCGGATCTGGTGGAGGGCCACGCGTGGTCCTGGACAGCCCAGACTCTGGCGTCTTCCTGACCAGCTCTCAGGATCTTCATACAACAAGCGAGGACATGTGCGGGAAGGAATGTTTCAGGAAGGTCGATAGACGGTCATAGAAAATGAGGAGAAAGGGACGACGGCGAGAGCGAGTAGACCCACCCGTGGCGCTCGGGAGAATGGAAGGGAAGACGAGAGAAGAGCCAGGTGACTTCTTTATTAATGCCGTGTCACGGTCCGTGCAGCAGACGAAAGTGGAACGGAGTGGGCAGCCGCTCCCAAGCGCTCTAGGACACTGATCTGAGGGCCCGCTGGTATCTCTGATGGTGGGACCTCCTGGATAGATTGCGCGTAGAGGAAAGGGGTGGAATGGACGCTGGGAGAGAAGCAATTTTGCTAGGGAGTGGACGGCCTGTTGCTGCCACTAGGCCCGGCGTCCTTGAACCAATCGTTGCTCGACAACGGCCTGAGCCGGCCAATGGCGGATGGACAAGCGCGGATAGGCGAGGACGGTAGAGCGGCGGTGGGAGCAAAAAGAAATGGACACGCTTTCTCCGTTTTCGCGGTAGGTAACAAAGTTTAAACACAAGAAGTGGATCCTAATACACGACAAGACGTTAACCCGCTCTTTCAAGCAGCGTAAAATCAGAGTCCAGGACGTCACAAACGACTGGATACATCCCAAGCAAGCTGTAGGTCACAAAAGCAGGTCCCATGTGCACTAATGTTTCTACGAGAATGCTAAAAAAAGCTAATAACATGGCCCTTGCAATGATGCAATCTTCATCTCTAAAAAGTGACTGAGGGTTGATTTGTTCTAAATCGGATGGCTCCCCTACTTGAGTAAGGATTGGAGGAGCTGAACATTCGATTTGACTGTAACATAAAGATACTGAAAGGTGTAATCTGTGATGTTCTTACTTGGATCAAACCATTCCAGCAGAAGGGTGTATCGTCTACCAACAGTCCAAGGCTGGCAGCCACTGTACGGGCTAGTAGTGATATTAGGTTCGCCTTCTATTTTTCTTGCATCATAGTCACGTTACACACGCCGAGCCTTGATTTATTTCTTTTTCCTAGCATTGTCTAGACTCTGCTTTTTGGCAACACGCTCTTCACTAGTGGCTTCAACCTTTTGTCACAGTATCTGCTACAAATACTGAAAAAGGATCAACCTAACCATGAGGTTGATCATGGTCCCAACCTTTTGTCAGAGCAAGTATCTTCTACAAATCCTGAAAAAGGATCAATCTAACCATGAGGTCAATCATGATCCCAACACGAGCGAGTTTATGTGCACTCCCATTACAAAACCGAATGACTTAAACAAAATTTATAGCCATAAGAAATTCTGCTTCTTTAAGAAGAACACCACCAACCTGATTCGGGTCAGTTCAGGACATAACGCCTCGCCCTTCTTATCGTGTGTTGTTGTCAATGGTGTGCCTGAGATGAGTATTGGATATATCTGGCGCTTGAAACTGATGCCATACAGGTGAAACAAGCACTATATATGGAGAAGACTTTTTATGCCTACTAATCCTGGGCAATCTCATCCAGAGTTGGAAGCATTGATAGTTGGCGAGTTCGTCAAGTCTTTGAGATGCTCTGCGTCTAGACAACGTAACAAAAGTAGCAGATGCTTTGGTAGGGATGGGTAAATCGCTCTCGGTGGAGGATGATCTTGTAATGGTTGGTGCTCACTGCTCACTCTTGTCCTCTTCGCGTTTGCCAAGCGATTTAGCTGGATCGTGGTCTTAATGGAATCCCCAAATTCTTATCAAAAAATGGCGTGTCTGATATCTTGTTACCTACTCCATGTAATGATCAGTGGGTGATGCCATCACGAATTCACAGGGCGGTTGTTGAAACTGTGCAATTTTTATGGTCCCTTGATCATGGATTCGTGAATAAGAATATATATGAGATGAATCAAATTCATGATCAGGGTAACTTTATAATGCGTACACGATACTTCAAGAAAGAATACAGTTCTAATATAGTACCGAGTGGACCCAATTTTAATTTTAACCAAGTTTATATAAAGAACTATCAATATTTATGACACCAAATAATTATCTTTGATTATTCATAAAATATATTTTAATGATATGTCTATTTTGTGTTATAAATACCTATACTATTTTTTATCAAATTTTAGAAAGTTTGATCGATGATGAACAAGGATTACATCATTTTTTTTTAGAACGGAGGTGGTCCGTCAAAAATATCTAACTATATTGATTTCATGTTTTATCTAACTATTCTAATTTTGCACCATAAGTATATTTTTACAAAACATAGTACATGCACGGCATACATATATTTTTACACTCACCCCTAACGCGTGTATATATCCAACTCTATGAGCATCTTAAAAGACTAAAATATTTTTTTTACTTTTTTATATAAAATTAGTCAAACTTTTAAAAACCTAGGATAACTATAGAAGCTGATTTATTTATTTAGGACGGAGTGCGTTACATGTGGAACTCTGTTCTTGGATCTGTGGCCGTGGAAGAATGTAGTTCGGTTGTTTGATAGCTTGATGAAGAGGTCTGTCTGTGTTGAACCCGCACGGTTAATCCGCTGATTGTATTAAAGAGACGTGCCAATAGCTTGGTGAAGCTAAGAGTTCTATTTGCGTAGCACCCGCACAGTTAAGCAGCTGGTTATATTAAAAAGAGATGCTAAGCGGAGGATGGGGCTTCTTGATCAGGGATAACGATGGTGATGTTGTGCTAAGCGGATGGGGGCGTGTCAATCACTTACTGAATGCTTTCCAGGCTGAAACGATCGTCTGCCTGCAGGGCGTTCAAGCTGCGATTAATCTGGGAATTGGCCGGTTGATCCTGGAGACGGATGCGCTGAAGGTAAAACAAGCAGTGTCGTGTGAATCACATGATATGTCAGTAGCAGGTGGATTGGTAGAAGAATTCAAGTTCATAGCTTCGACTAGCTTTATTAGTTTTGAGTGTGTTCATATTCCAAGAAGTTGTAACATGGCAGCTCTGAGCTCATGCTCTTGCTGCTGTTGGTGTGGGTAGCACTGAAGGGGTGGAGCACATTTCGTGTGATATCATGGATAGTGTAAATGTAATTGTTGTTGACGATTTGTCAACACGAATGCAATGAAAGTTACTCAAGTTCAAAAAAAAAAGATGCGGCAGTGGCCCTTTGATAATATAATTTCAAGAGAGATAAAGTTACAAAAAAAAAAAGATGCGGCAATGGCCCTTTGATAATATAATTTCTAAGAGAGAGCTTCTCTCTGTCAATACAATAATCTCAACAGAAAGCCTTATCTCTTCATACAGTATAACTTGCATTTCTTCTTTCTTCATCTAACTTACATATGTGTGAAGGTTGTCAAACTGATTGAGTGAATCAAGCTTGACCCGTGGTGCATGGTGCCGGCAAAAATGGAAAATCACTTCCTAGTTGCAACGACTCACCTGTATCTATTACACCTAAAAAATCGTTATTGTCTTACCGTCCCGCCTCACCTCGGCTGCGATCTTTGCGCGCGCACCCCTGCGATCCTTTGCACCGACAAGTGGGCCCTGTCCGATCCACCACGCGACTTTCACACCAGCAAACGCGGCGCGACTCCCTCACGTAGCCGCCGGCCGAGCAGACCCACGCGGCCACGCCACCGCGACCTCGATAGGCCTGCCGTCGCCGGATGAGTGGCACAAGCAGACAAGCTCCAGTGCAGTGGCGCCGCCGCCGCATCTCTCGCCTGGTCTGCCCCAAGCTGCGCCTGCATGCTGCGTAGGGCATGGAGCGGCCACTGCAGCTACGCCGATGGAGGCCTGGTGCGTGTTGGCCTCTTGGGTGTTCGATACGCACACAATATGTTCAAAGAAATGCCGGTTCGAAATGCTGTCACATGGGAATCCTTCCCCACCGGCCGTCTTTGTATTTGATTTGAGATGCAACCTTGAAGAAGATAGCAGAAAACGCAAGGCCAAATATGATATGTTTGGCAAGAGCTTCGCCCCACGATCGAATATTGATCAGGTTCAAGGTTAATACTTCAGTTCATCTTGCGTATGGGTTAGCAAGCTGCCACCCCTCGCATTAAATTCCACCTTGGTAGGTACATACACTTTTGCTGGCAAATCTATTGTCAATTTGCTGAATTACAATTAACTGAACTAATCTTAAGAATTGCCAATAATAGTCTGCAAGTCTCGCTGTCATTGTTTTTCGAACGAACTGTTTTTAACCAGATTCGACACTTGTTTTCCTATGCATTCATTGTATCACTAGTCACTGGAGTGGTAGTAGAAGCCATTTGTTTTCTCTTATTGCATGGCCTAATCCTAATGTCGTTCACTGCACGGCAACAGTTATGAAGGTAGATCAACCAACGTCTGCAATGGTCATCCATCTAAAATACTACCTGCTATTCAGTCATCATTGTCTCCTCATATTAAAAATGCTCGTATATTTGTGTCCACTAATCACACAAGGCAAGAGAGGACACCGAAAATGTGTAACAAAAACAGGAACATGAATATACTGTCTAGAATTATTATTTTCCCACAAATTTTTTATTTCTCACAATCTACTGACTACTGTCTAACATATCAATATTTCAATTTCTCACGATCATATTAGTTCCCTTTGTGGCATTGATTTTGACTTAGCTACCAAATATCACGTACAAATTTTTGTTTGCTACCGTGCAACGCACGGGCACTCATCTAGTATACAATAAATTGAAGAACCAAAACAATATATTATACTCCATGTCCTTAAATAAAGTCGTTTTGAACATCGACACGGTTTCAAAAAACAATTTTGACAACTACTTTTTACTATAAAATATTTATAAAATATAGTCAATATATCATTTTATAAAACTACTACATTTTGAGATGAATCTACTTACATCACTTTCATATATTCAAACTCAATTCAAAAGAATTTATTTGTAGTCATAGTTTAAAATATTTGACTTAAGACAACCCAAGACAACATCCTTTAGAAACATGGAGGGAGTAACAGTTAACATTTAATGCATCCAACCAAAGACATTTAAAACATTAAACATTACACCGTCCCATAATTTTTGTCTAAACAAGCACTTACAAAACAGCAGTTCGTTCAACATAGAAGTACAAATAATCTGACTCAGGCAAATAAAGACAACTCAGGTGGTGTGGAGCAGTGGAGATTTAAATCAGTACCACCAATCATATTATCCACGCTAACCTCTCTGGGATCTTACACCTGGACATGAACAAGCATATATCATAGCTTCGAGATAATTTTCGAGCAATATTATTAGGAGAAGAACTAAGTAACATTTCACCCAAATCATAACACTAGATAGTCCAGCTGCCACTGTGGTTTTTGACTTTTGGTGCGCGACGGCAGTAGTTCAGGACCCAGGCAGTTGTTTTTTTAAGTTCAAGGACCTAAATAGGAATGCCTAAAAAGTTTAAAAATGCAACGTGCGTTTTTACTCAATTTAAAAAGATTGTAGACTGGTAACAATTTACTAGGCCAGCGAGAGAAAAAAGTGGAAAAGGTTTAACTAGTGGATTAGGAAAAACTAAAATTATTATTAGTGATATGATTTATAATAATGAAATTATATAGTTAGAAGCAAAAGAAAAATAGAGAAAAACCAAATGTCGTGGCAAAAGAAAAAAAAAAGAGAAACCGAGAAAGCACGAACCGGTTTCATGGGCTGCTCACACCTATCAACGTAGTCATGCACGTGCGCAAACAAAAAGAGAAATCGGCCCAATATTGTTCTCCTGCTTTTACACCTGTTTTCTGTCTTTCTTCTCCCGTTCACCCCCCGCCTATACGCTCCACTCGACCGTTTTCTGCATCTACGGGGTCAGTCCGCATCAGAGCAACCGTCAACTGAACACGCCCGCGACCGCCGCCGCCGCCCTAGTGCCCTACCTCAGCTGCCCAGGTCTTCGTCGGACCCTTCTCCGGCGACGAGCACCCACCACACCAGGTATGCCCCCCGCTCCCCGCCCCCTCTCTTGTCTCTTCCCTTATTTGTGTGCAAAGCGGGGCACCCGAACCCTAGTTCAAGCTATTTGGCTATCTGTATTCGGATCTGATCTAATCACAAGCATGTATTATGCCTATTAACTTTGTTTTTTGGGGGGCTCAAATCATCTTCTGTACATTGTACACTGCCTTATATCGGATCCGCCCCTGGATGTTCTGTTGGTAGATAGGTAGATAGCGCACCCGTGATTCTGAGGTTGGCATGACCTCGCACGAACAGTAGTTCTGGTTTGGCTCAGCGCATATGTTTTGAATCAATCGCAGTTGGCTTGTTGGTACTGGGCATAATCCATTATTCCAAGATTGTCAATTTCAAGGTCATGGTCTTTATATGGGATATTTGGCTTGTGCTTACTCCTTCTGCAGTCGAGTTGTAATTTGCTGTTACTGCTGTTATGATTCAAAGGTTCACAACTGGTATTCCAAGAAAATATGGCTTTAGTCATGGGAAGTTAGATCTTGGTGTAAATTAAAAAGCCATTCTGCATTCTTTGATTCCTATGCTTTTTCATAATGTTTCATTTGCTTTTCAATGCTGGCTTAGCCTTCACCTGTTATTTTCACTCACAACAAAAATCTTTAACAAACCATTTTTTTTGTTGATAAGAATGCACATAACTTGCTTGGGACTGAAAGGCTATGTTGTTGTTGTTGTTGTATAAGAATGCACACAACTACCTGATTGTTCCCCTAAATCCTGATAAAATCCTATTGTTTTCCTTTTTGTTGCAGACATCTGGTCGTCAGTACAGAACTTGAACAGATTGTGATGTCGGTGCCAGTGTATAAGAAACAATACTCATTGGGCACCCCTGCCCACAAGACAAACCCGTTTGATTCAGATTCTGATTCTGAAGGGCCATCAAGGGAACAGTCTGTTCCAGTACGACGCACCAATCAATCTGTGCAAGAGTTGGAAGATTATGCTATAACCAAAGCACAAGAAACCACACACAAAGTAAATGATTGTGTCAGGGCTGCTGAAGCCATCAGGGAAGATGCTACACAAACCATGCTAACTTTGCACCGTCAAGGTGAGCAGATCGTGCGGTCTCATCAAGTAGCAGCTGACATTGAGCAGGACCTTACAGTGGTAAGTTCTCAATCTTTTGATCATTGGATAGCCCAAGTATACAATAGTTGAATAGTACCTTCCAACAACTATTTTATCTCAAAATAAGTTGAACTTCTGTACAATACAGTATGTTGGTACTTGGTACCCAATTCAGTGATCAGACACCTTGTCAAAACATTGGCCTTTCAAAATATTTGATGGAGATGCGTAGATGTGTACATGACTTGTATAAGTACATATTTGATCGACATGCACCTTCGTAACAGAAACTGTGCCGAACTATTGTACAGATACATGTTGAGCAGTTATCACACTATGATCTGTAACCAGGGGTGGGCAAAAAAAACTGAAACCGAGACCGAAATACCCGAATTTTCGGTCCTCGGGTAGTCGGGTACTAGTTCGGTTCCAAGTTGGTAGAGACCGAAATTCTTTAGTAGTCTTTGGTCTGCACTGTTGGGTACCTGAACAACCCTATATTTAATCCAACCTCAAGTTTCCAAATTCCAAGCGACACAGCCTGTCCCACGCTCCCTCCCACCCACACTAATGCAGTTGAGTTCTGAAAGTATATGAAGTCTGTCTCAACTCTGTTAGTCTGTGCTGTTGCCTATTGCCACCTGCCAGTCTGTGCTACTTCGTGGAACAAAAGTGCCATGCACTGCTGCTGTCATGTGTTGTCAGCCTATTATAAAGTTTATTTACTAGTACGTGTTTGTGCCGCCAAAGGCCTAATACTGGAGTATGTGTGTACCTGTTCAGCTGTTCCTGCAGAGTACAGACTGCACCGCTGCAGTCCTGTTGACTATTGAAAGCCATCTCGGTTACGACCGAAATACCGACCCGATAAATCGGGTACCCGATCTTTGAGGGACTAAACTCCTATGTTAAATTTCGGGTATCGATTCTTGAAGACTGAACATTTTTAAAAGCCGGAGAGACTGGACCAAACAGTCGGTCAGGACCGAGCGCCCAGGCTTATGTGTAACCCTCTTCTCTTTTTGTTTCTGTATGTTGTGAATCACCAATTACTGAGCCAAATCATGCTTGCTAATTATCATTCAGAGTGATAACTATATTTGGAATCTTATGATTTAGCACAGCTAAGAATTAATTGGATGGTATTAGCGTACATGGTTTTCCTTCTGTTTTGTTGTCACTATTGCTTTTGTGATTCATGGGTTCATTCTGAGTTTTTGACTGAGCTCTACATATATAAGGATGAGTTGTGTTGTTCCTGTTTTTTGTTTTTTAATTCATTATCATGCTATAAATGTTTGGTGTTGCTCAATTCACTGCAATAATATGTCAAAACTTCTGTTGTCTTCAGAGTGAGAAGCTCCTGGGAAGTCTGGGTGGACTATTTTCAAAGTCATGGAGGCCAAAGAGAAATCAACAGATAAAAGGACCAGTCTCAGGAAGTATGTTATTGTAGACTACAGTTAATTTGTCAGACTTTTTTTTGCTTAGCTAAACGTTTTGAGTTGTGGCAGATAACTATTCTGCGACGACAGCTAACCACATGGAACAGAGGTGGAAGCTAGGAATTGCCCCAGCACGTCAAGAACGTCCCAGTCATGTACAAACCACACCTGTATCTGCAATGGAAAAAAATCAGGTCTGTCTTCAGAATTAACTATGAAGTGTGTGACCTATGGAACCAAGTACTATCTTCTCTACATTTTTTCTTCTAGTTCTTCATCAGAGTTAAAGATCGATTTCTTTCTTTCTTTAGGCTGAGAGAGCAAAGCAGGATGATGCACTTTCCGACCTGTGTAGCACGTTGGGACAACTGAAGGAAATGGCAGTGGATATGGGCACAGAAATTGACAGGTAATAATGCTGTAGTGACTTCTCTATAGATACCACAGCACACCATTAAGCAAATTGATGCAGAAGACTCTCGGCTGTGCTATCTACTGTGGCTGTGCTATCTAGTGTGTATACAGTTTGATGGAGGTTTTGATCTTGCTTGCAGGCAAAACAAAGCTCTGGTTCCTTTCAGCGACGACGTCGATGAACTGAATTTCAGACTGAAAGGCGCGAATCAACGGGGATGCTGGTTGCTGGGCAAGTGATACGGAGCCAGGAATTTGGGCAGTTTGGAGACCGTCGCCTGAACTGCAGGATTTAAGAAGAACCTTGTTTTTTACATGTTTTAGAGAAAATAGAAAGATCCTTGTATTTTCTGTTTGGACGTAAAAAAAAGATCCTTGTATTGAACTGAGAACATTCGAATTCCAGTGTTGTATAACAAGCAGCCCCAAATTTGTTGAGAGAAAGGTAGTCCGATATGATTGTGCTTTGTCGAAGTTCAAAACTTATCACCGTTGGCGTTGGCTTCTCATTTCTGCGTAGTTCAGTTTGATGCGCATGGTCATGCTCAAGGTCAAGCTTACAACTTCTGAACAACGGCAACAAGCTAGCACGCCTTGCGTTGCGTGGCGCCATGCCCCGCCCCCGCCGCCGCCGTGCTGATCGCACCAAACTCTACTTCCTCCATCTGCTCGATAGAATGCACAAGATGCCAAGTCTTCCAACAGAGCGGCGGTTGCCTGCAACACCAGGTGCCGTTCAGCCCTGGACGGATCGACGTGCTGGCCGTGTACCGCCGTGCAAGCGCTACAACTACATGATGGAGGTGAGCGCATCTACTCCGTGTGTTTTTGTTCGTTGTGCTTGTGCCGTGCTCGTGAGGTCCTGCCTCTTGTACTCAACGCTCGCCTACGTAAAAACCCAGGCCCCGCCGTTGTCACTTGTCACCTTCCTTCTTGCAAGCCTAGTGCTACTTTGCGGCTTGCACGGAGGCACGGTAGCCGAGCGCGCGGCCAGGAATGTTCCCCGACGACGTCAGGCTCGCGCCGAGCGCGCACCCGCACCGCGTCGTGGCACGCGCGACGACGACGAAGCCGAGCGGCACCCACGGGCGCGGCGAGCAGCCGAGCGCCGAGCGCGACGGCCTGCCCGTCGTGGCGGCCGGCGCCGGGCAGCGTGGCACGCTGTACGACTCGTTCGAGCTCAACGCGATGGTCGTGCGGCTGAACCGGGTGCTGATCGGGGACGGTGGCGAAGCGAGGCGGCCGCGCAAGGCCGCCAGCAGCTGGGTCAACGCGCCCAAGGTGCTCTTCAGGAAGATCAAGTGCGCGTTACTTGGCGGCGGCCGGCGTGGCGACGGCTGACGAGCGGTGTAACGTCGTTGTTGCTCATCTCCACCTCGGCCTCTACGTGCGCACGTTGATTTGTGCTGGTCGACGACACGACGCTGAGGCTTTTATGTAAAACACTGAAACCAAATCAGTAGTGTACGTAATACGAAGGTTGAATAAATGATGATTCAAGAAAACTTGTGTCTGGAAAACTAGAGGCCGTGAATTTGTTCCTCTTTTTCGTCCAAGAAGCATAATTAAAGGTCGGTGTATCATGCCGTGCATTGCAACTGGCGGCGAACGAGGCGGGATGAGCAAAGGCAAATGCCGGCTGAGCGTGACGGACTGCCGACCGTCGATGAGGTTCTTGTGCTTTTCTTCACTCGCATTTGGACAAACACACAATGCCGACCGGTGGCTGAACCCTGAAAAACGGGAATATGCGAGCTGGATCTTGAGAATTCCGTTGCGCCGGAATCACGTCGCCATCACTGCTTCTCCACGTCAGCCTCCACGTCGATAACCCACAGCTGACCCAATGCAAAAGGGCATTTTCTCTGTGTGCCATTATAAAAGATACTCCATTCCTACACGCCATCAAAAAGTTTACACGGACCCTGATGCCATGATGCTAAACTCTTTTATCCAACACGCCATTCCGTCCAGTTTTGCTCATAACGGTGGGTAACGGCGTAGCCAAATGACTTAGATGCCCTTAAACTTGAGAGGCTCTGTGAACTAGTTGGTTTGCTTCTGTGTCATTCCCAGGCCGAGCGTTTTGACGCCAAAGCCAGGGTTGTTGGCGCCAACTGAGCCCCTGGGCTTCTCCTCCTATGTATAGGTCCTCAGCCCTATCTATGTGTATGAGTAGTCATGAATGTATGGATGGATGGATGAATGAATGAATCAATGTTAAATGATGAATATGAAGATTGTTCATTTGTCCAGATGCAACAATATATGAGAACAATATAACAACAATTAGAGTACTGCAACAGTAAACAAATATTCATCACATAACAGCAACTACCTTACTGTTTTTCATCACAAATGTTTCATGTCACCAACATGTCACCAACATTCATCACATAGCAGCAAGTTATTGGTTTTCATCTACAGCTAAGTATTGTCATGCCATCACAAAACATTCATCACAGAGCAAAAGAACAGTCATGCCATCACATAGTAGGTGTTTTTCCAGAACCACATCACCAAAAGAACATTGAGCAGGCACCTTTCACTGCAGCTAGAGTTTCTTCTTGCTTCTGGCATTTGAAGCAGGGCTAGCTGGGCTGGCTGCTGCAACTTGGAGCTTCTTTGGTGTAAGCTTCTACTTGATCCCTATCTTCCTCCTTGGTGAAGCTTGGGGCAGCACAATCTCTAATGGCTCTGTCTATTGTAATGGAGTCTTCATGGAAAGGGGTCAAGTGCACAGTTGGATTGGAACTAGGTCATTGGAACCAGTTACAGACCTTGTGGCAAAAAGGCAGAGTGTGCTTTAGCATTAGCAGTCATAATAAAAGTGTTGTGATCAATTGAAGAGCTAGTAAACATACCTGTTAGATACACTGTTTGAACATGAGCTTGAAGTAGTAGTGGTAGCTGCCTTGTTCTTCTTGGCACTAGAAGAAGAAGAAGATTTTCTCTTTCTTTTCTTGTGTGTAGCATTGACTACTACCTCATTGTGTGGAAACACCATCTAGGATGGAGTAGCAACCACAATGCTAGTCTCTGTGTTACAGCTTGCTGCTTTTTTCAGCCTTTTCTTTGGAAGACCTCTGCATAGAAAAAGTTACATTGGTTAACTAAGTTATTGAAGCTGTGCATGTATCTGCAAAGTAATTTAGTTACATAGTTTATCTTTTAGCCTCCATTGCAGCTATATCTTATGGATTCCCATTCTTGCAAGTGTACCAGTGATGCCCTAACTCATGGCAGATGGGGCACTCATGTTTCTTTGCCCTCTTCTTGTTGCTGCCTCCCTCAAATGATGATTTTATCCTATTCTTCCTTCTACCTCCTGTGGACCTAAGACAAGGAAGGTGCATGAAAAAGCCATGAGTAGCTTTAGGCCACATGCTTTTGTCAGGAATACAAGGGATGGAACCCTCATATACAACTCTAAATTTATTAATAGAGAAGTAATCATCCATATGGTCTTTTAGTTTTTTACCAGAAATTGAAATAATGTAGGCTATTGCATGATTGCATGGGATTCCTGACCCCTACCAAACCCTACGGGAACATGTTCTGTTAGGTAGGCTGACCACAAACCTGAAGCCACTACCTTCCTTAGCACACAGTTCTACCACACCATCAGGGAAGGTTGTGATCACTTCAATGTCCAGGTTGTAACTGTCTTCCCTTAGCTTCTACAGGATGTGAGGCAGAATCTTTCTCTCAACTTCTTGGCTACCTTCTTCCTATGGTTCTATTTGATAAAAATCTTTTGTTTTATAGTGTCCAACAAGTCATCCAGGTGCTTTACCTTCTCAGGCTTGATCCAATTATTGAATGACTCCGTCAAATTATTATTCACATAATCAACCTTTGATAATGTCTTGTACTGGCTCCTGGTCCAAAGTTTCTTGTGAGTTTCTTGCAGATACCTCATTGCCTCAGGTTTGGCTGCAGTCATTGCTTGATAATGCTTCTCAAACATGTAAGGGCTCCATGAATATGAAGAAGCCCACAAGTGATCATCAAATACCTTCCTATTGTACCTCTTCTTGAAATTATGTACTAAGTGATACATACACTCTCTATGTTTAGCATTTGGAAAAACTTCACTAACCCCATTCATGACTGCCTGACCACAATCTATGCAAAATGTCAAGCCCTCTAGGGTGCCTATTGCTTCCTTCAACCTCTCCATAAACCACACCCAATTCTCATTGGTTTATGGGTCAATTACACCAATAGCTATTGGATACATCTAGTTGTGCCCATCTACTGCACAAATAATGCACAACTGTCCCCTAAACCTTCCTGTTAAAAATGTGCTATCTACTACAAGATATGGTCTATAGCCTCTAAAAAATCCATCAACATATGGTTTCAGTCCAAAGAATAGCCTATTGAACCTCATCTTATTGTTGATTGTGTGATTATCAATGACAAGAAATGATCCAGGGCTTGATTCTTCTAACTGGGCCTTAAGCCTATATAGGTTATCAAAACTTTTGCCCCAAGGCCCATAAATCTTATCCATGGCAAGATTTTTACCTTTATACACTCTCTTGTAGGGCACCACAATTTTATGTGCATCCTTCAACCTCCTTTGCAATTCTGTTGCACCTAGAGTTCTATCTTCCTTCAGCCAATCAATCACCTGACTACACACCTAGAACTGTCTTACCCCTACACAGATTCCTTGCCTTCTAGTGCTCTGACACTTATGAGGGTAGGGGTTCCTTTTCACCTGCAAAACATTCAAGTAATGCACTTATTACAAGTCACACAATGCAAAAAAATAGGGAACAATCAATGAAAACAATGTACTAACACATTACCTTAATAGTGTGCCCATCCCTTAGAGTTGAGGCATGGAGTCTCCACCTGCAGCCCTCACTCTGTTGTGAGCAGTTCACCCTATACCTACCTGTATCACTCTTTTCAATATCATAGTTGAACTCATGTTTAACAACATGAGTAGCTAAAGCAATCTTAAAAGCATCCATATCTGAATACACTGTTCCTACTGACATAGGATGGTCTTTCTTGTTATAATCAACATCAGGCATATGTTCAGGCTCTCTATCTTTAACCATATCATCTATGTCTTCTACTTCATCATTAGAGGATTCATCACCAAAGTCTGTCTTAGATGATTCATTAGTATCAGAACTCTCACCTTCCTATTCTTTACTCCCACCTTGGCTCTGAGGATTGGGAGAAGGTAGGGGGTATTGGGGACCAAGGTCAATATACAACCCTTCCTCATCAACACCCACATGCTTATTCATTGGGTTTGAGTTAGCCAGGTATTCAGGTTTAGTAGATTAAGTATGTGTGGCATGACTTGGTTCTGCTAAGTTTAGAAAAGTAATTAAAGGGGTGAATGGGGGTTCAACAGAGTTAACAGTGCTACTAGAATCCCAATCAGGAATCACAGGGGGCTCACTACTTGGGCTATGATATGCAATAGTCAACAAACAACATTTGAAAGCCTTATATTTTGCAAACATTTCAACCAAATCTTAGTCAGTGCAGATTTCGATGTCCACTTTACTATCTATGTAGAAATAAAGCACTCGCTATGTCACCGTAGTTACGAGGATACTTGTCGACAACTTCAGCAAACAGGTCTGTGAAGTTAGTGCGGCTAGCATCCATGACTTTGTTCAATGAAAACCACCACGCACGAGAACTGGGAGCAACAATTTGAATTTCTAAGTTGTAGCTACTTTCTGCGTCCATCCTATAGATGACCAAGGAGTACACAATCAACACTACAACACACGAGGCACAAACGCAGGGCACTAGATACCAATCAACACTATAAACACGGGGCACCACGAAACCAAGGGGGAAGCAGTGAACTCACTCGTCTGGAAGCCAATCCAGTTGCTCGCCCACACCCTTGTTCCCCGCCATGCCACGCCTATCCTCTGGATCCACGGGCGAATCCACGCTCCACTACCCCATGTGCCGCCACAAGCACGGGGGGATTCGTCGTCTTCTCTCCCAGCCGTCACTACAACCTCCGCCGTCGGATTCGCCATCGTTAGGGTTTCTCCGCCGCTAGGGTTAGGGAATTGAGGGAGTCGAACGAGAAGAGAGAGTGAGAGACCGAGGGAGATGCCGATCAATATCGGTCAACACAGCCTCCACATATGCCCGTGACTGAAAGGGCAACATGGATATTTTTCCTGCCCGGTCCCACATGTAAGAGCTGTCAAACGGTCAAAACCAAATAGAATGAAGACGGAATGACATGTTGGACAAAAAAGTTTAGCGTCATGGCACCAGGATCTATGTGAACTTTTTGCTGACATATAAGAATGGAGTATCTTTCGTAATGGCACACAGGGAAAATGCTCAATCCAATACAAACGAAACAGAAACACCTGGATGACGTTGGGGTCCACGAGTCTGGGAGCCCCACATGTCAAGGACTTGAGCGCGTCCAATGGGGCGAAGAACTCGCACAGCTCTTCGAACGCCTCGGGCGGAGCGCCTCGGAAGAACTAGCCGTTACGCGTCCAGGCTCCAGCCCCCCAACGTTCCCTTTTCCCATCGCCGCCTCCCCCTCCCCCCTTTTTTCTGTTCCCCATACGCACGGAAACATCTCGTCGACCCAAATCCATCCCCCCACAAGGCGGAATCCACGATCCAGTCCGATCCCCGCCGCGCGCCGAGCTCCAAACCCTAGCGATGTCGACGGCGGCGGCGGCAAAGACTCCGACCAAGCCCCTGGGCCCCGCGGCCGCGGGTGCCAGGACTCCAACCAAGCCCCAGGCCCCCGCGGCGGCCAAGACGCCGTCCAAGACACCCTGCCCCTCTCGCGCGCGGTCCTCGCACACATCCGAGAACTCCAACCCCAACATCCCGGGCACGCCGCCTCCCCCGCAGCCGACGCCGTCCAAGCCCGTCCTCAAGTCCCCGGCGGCCGCGGGCGTCAGGTCCGCCACCGCGAAGAAGAAGCCCTCCACGCCCGCGCCCGCGCCCGCCGCGCCGCCGCCGGAGCGGGAGCGGCGATTCCTCGTGGCGAAGAAGGGCGCGCGGCGGAGGCGCAACGTCGGGGCCATGGGAGGCGGCGGGGGCGGGGGAGAGATCGACTTCGACAAGGTCCGCGAGGCCGCCCGCGAGGCGCTGCGCGCGTCGCAGGGAGAGTTCTTCCGCAAGGAGCTCGCCGCGTGCACCGCCACCGTAGAGGTGCAATTGGGACAGGAGGAGGAGGAGGAGGCCGGTGGCTGAAGAGGATGTGAAAGGTGGAGCATTCGAGGAGCGGCAGGAGGAGGGACCGACGCGGAGCTGGAGGGGAGCAGCAAGGTTAGGGCGATGAGGACGAACGCAATGGCAAAGGCGATGACCAGCGTTCCAGATCCTGGCTCTGGCCGCGTCAAGCATATGGTACAGGCCTTCGAGAGCCTACTCAACATCTCCGGCGCCACCTCAGATGCAGAAAGGGCCGGTGAGGGCTCATGGGCGCTGCCCGGGTTGCAGCTGTGGAAGGAGAAGCCTGAAGAGGCTGATCTGGGGTTCCCACCAGTGTCGGTGTTCTCTTCGGCTGATTTCCAGAATGCAGGGTCTAATCAACTCTGCTCGTCACTAGATGGAAACACCGACAGGTTGGTTGATGTCGACAAACAAGCACAAGGAAGTGCTTATGATTTTCACTCAAATGCAATTTTCTGATCACAGTTTGTCACCCATTTTAGGTTGAGCTGGGACAGCAGAACATCGGCTGGCGAGTGCAGGGACAGGAGAAGCGTAAGCCTGGCATAGTTTTTAGTTTTTTTGGGTTGGTCATTGTGGAGCATATTCTCATATCTGAATGCATTCTTGCTCTCTGACAGTCAGCTGAGTCACTAAGGACCAGAACATCGGCGGGCGGGCGCAGGAGCAGGAGAAACGTAAGCCTGGCATAGGTTTAGTTTCTATTTGGTTTGGGTCATGTTAGAGCATGTTCTAATATCTGAATACATGCTTGCTCTCTGGCAGTCGTCTGAGTCACTAAGGAGCAGCTGGAACAAAAAGCTCAAGGTCACCAGCCAGCATCCATTCAAGTTGAGGACTGAGGTAATAGCGCATCCTCAGTGTTGTCACAGTCATGACTCATGTCCTATAAGTTGACGTACTTTCTTCAGCTAGTTTGTGAAAATTCAGTCACCATGTTCTTTATGACAGCAAAGGGGAAAATTTAAAGAACAACAGTTCGTTCAAAAGGTTCAAGAGATGCTTGTAGAGGAAGAGAAAAGGCGTATTCATATTGCGCAAGGATTGCCATGGACTACCGATGAACCCGAGGTATGTTTAACTAACTTTTCTTGAAAGAGGGCTTGTGTCAACAACTTAGCATATGTCCATGTGACCATAGATTGATTGGGAAATTACTACCTATATGAATGTTCTTATTCTTCTCACAGCAATAGCTTATTTAGGAAAGTCAAAATAGTATCAAAGTTCTATGGAATATAAATATATAATTGCCTGATGTTTCTTTGGGACTGCAAAGATTTTGTTTTTAGTATCTTGGTAAAATGGCGATTTTTTTTACTCATTCTCTCCATTTCAGTGCTTGATAAAGCCTGCAATCAAAGAAAGAACAGAGCCGATAGACCTTGTTTTGCATAGCGATGCTCGTGCACTTGAACGTGCAGAATTTGATCATCATGTGAGCCTCTTAAAAACTCATTTTACATACTTTACTATCTGAGATGTAATATCAATGGAGTTAATTGATGTACCTAATATATTTAATCATGTTCGTTTTGAGAATTTAGGTTTTGGAGAGGAACAAGTTCGCTGAGCAACAAAGGCTAGAATGGGAAAGGCAACAGGAATTAGAGGAAGAAGAAAGGATTAGGCAACTGAGGAGGACTGAGCTAATTCCTAAAGCTCAACCCATGCCATACTTTGACCGCCCCTTCATCCCCAAAAGGTGATGACCAAGTTATATTTTGACTCTCTACAGGCTCAACAAGTTATCTTTTTTGTAACCTTTCACAGTACTGTTGGTTTACCTCAATACTTGAGAGATGTATTGTCATTTACACAACTAACAGTTAATTTTTTATCCGTTTTATCTGCATAGGTCGACAAAACCGACTACAGTTCCTGTGGAACCTAAATTCCACCTCAGGCCAGAAAAGCTATCCTGGTGAGTTTTTAGTGTCAAAAGATATAACTAAGTTGACATATTTGTGCATAAAACGTGTTTCCCGAGCCCTGTATTTATTTATCTGTGCAAAGCATGCTCACCATGCTTGATTATGTGTCAATGGTGGCTGACAGTTACTGTCGACAGCGATGTATGGAGCTTGGAAAGCTGAATCCTCAACAGCAGTGCCAACATCCACTATGGCAATCGAGAAATGCAGAGCATCGACACACATGATCCAACAATTGTTTCCACCTGTCCTCGTCTTATTCATTCTTGATTAGTCTTCTCCTTCCATATGTGAAGAAATTGCTATCAGGCGTGTTTTTCTAGCTTTGCTTGGATCGCCTCGCCTCTAAGTTCTGTTATGTACATGCATATGCAAATCGCTGGCTCTGTGCTTCAGATGCAATCCCACCAAGGTTGAAAATTTGTTGTCCAAGAAGCTGATAAAGAAATTCAAAGATGAATTTCGGTGGTATATTATTGACTTCAGTATTGGTTCTTGCCCGAGTAGTCCCAGTGTGCTTTTATATGGAATAGTCGAGTAATCTGTTGCTGATTTGGTGGTGTATGTGCAGAAGTGTTTTTTATTTGAAACAATATGTGCAGAAGTTTCTAAACAATTCCTCGGGCGAACAAAACTGTTTCATGAGCAACACAAACCGTTCATGAGCCAAATTTCAGCGAAACGAATAGGGCTATAACTGAAAAAAAAAATTGTTGAGCAAGATGCATTGACGGTCGACAACTTGACGCCTGTGTGATTTCATCAATTTCGAGATGTGCCGGTAAAGTTTTTCAGAGGTGCTCATGGAGTAGGGTTTGCGTACTGTGCTAATAGAGGGGTAAGTGTGCCTACGTGATTCGCAAAAAAAATATATAAAAAAGCGTATCACTTGAAATCTCGTATGAAAACAAAAGCAGCTCACAAGTCACAGTGGATTCATTCAATTTCTGTGTTAGATTAGGCCCAGCCTGCTCAGGCACGGCCGAGGCATTCAGAGCAACCATCTTTTTTTTTCGACGCAGAGCAACCATCATGTTTAGCTTAATCAGTCTTCATTCTGCGAGAACGAGACGCTTCAATAGCCTCTTCTCTATGACACGTGGGTCCCCCGTAAGCTAAGCTACGCACACCAGCGCTTCTCTTTCCGCCCTTGGCAGCCAGGCATCTTCTCCACCCTCTCTCTATTTCTCCTCCCCTGCTCCCGATCCATCCGAGCCCAAACCCTAGTCCAGCCAGATATCCGCCTCCGCCGCCGCCGGCGAGAGCACCGCATCAGATCCGCCGCGATGGCGTTCCGCCGCATCCTATCCACCGCGGTGCGCCGCCGCTCGGCCGTCGCCGCCGCGGCGGCCGGGAACGCGCGCGAGGCCTCCACGGCCGTCGCCGCGGCGCCCGGCGTGCTCGCCCCCGACGCGACCCCGGTGCGCGCTCCCGTGATGCCATATGACCGCATCGCCGAGGCCGTCAACGCCAGGCTCCGGCGGCTCGAACACCCGGACCCGCGATTCCTCCGCTACGCCAGCCCCGTGCCGTCCCACGCCGACCACACGGCCATCCTTGCGGCGCCGGAGACCCGGGTCACCACGCTGCCCAACGGCCTGCGCGTCGCCACGGAGTCGTCCCTCGCCGCGAGCACGGCTACAGTCGGCGTGTGGATCGATGCGGGCAGCAGGTACGAGAACGAGCAGGCGGCCGGCGTCGCGCATTTTGTCGAGCACATGCTGTTCAAGGGCACGGGGAAGCGCAGCGCCGCGCAGCTGGAGCAGGAGATCGAGGACATGGGTGGCCACCTCAACGCGTACACGTCGCGGGAGCAGACGACCTACTACGCCAAGGTGCTTGACAAGGACGTGCCCCGTGCGATGGAGGTCCTCGCGGACATCCTGCAGAACTCTAATCTCGACCAGAAACGCATTGAAAGTGAGCGCGAAGTGATCCTACGAGAGATGCAGGAGGTATGCACCCTGATTTGTAGTCTTGTAGATATCTTTTATTCAAAGTTCTCATTTTTGTGCTTTATTATTAATCAGTTTGGGTAATAATCACTAATCAGGCATTTGTTTTATCTATGATCATTGCTCTCTATGGTTAAGTTTATTGGCCATGTTAAACTTTTTATCGAGACAGTTTTTGTCATCTTAAAGTAGATGGTTTTATTTACCTCAGATAAGATGCACTATGTGTTCTATGGTGTGTGATGAATCTGTGTTTTATGGTGTGTGATGAATAGATCTTTCTGGTTTGTTGTTAGCATTTCTACTAATCCTAAAGCTATATCATGAAGAGGACTATGCATTTTGACATGGGAGAATTGTCTGGAAAATTTAGAGTGAGGAAGGGAGGTGAGTAGTCTGCTAGGCATTTGTTCCTCTTAAACTTGCTGAGAAGTTAAAAGAGCCGAGTGAAAAATATTTTTCCAAGCAGGCAAGGAGATGAAAGAGTTGAATACATCTAGCTGATGCACACGTCGTCACTTCATATCAGGGTGTTATCAGTATACCTGGATCCTTTGCTCATTATATTAATCAACCCTTAACATCGCTGTTACTTGTTAGTAATTCTCAATTTGATTAAACAGCCAAGGTGTTCTGTATAGTAAAATCTGTGTGTTCAGTGTTATGAAATTCTTTTAACATAATTGTTCTCTGTTTCTTCCTTACATAGGTTGAGGGACAGTCTGAGGAAGTTATATTTGATCATCTCCATGCAACTGCATTCCAATATACATCTCTTGGCAGACCAATCCTGGGTTCTGCAGACAATGTCAAGTCAATCACCAAAGAGGACCTCGAGAACTACATTGCAACTCATTATACAGCTCCTAGAATGGTACATAATATTTAAAATTTTCAACCGCGACGCAACTGTGCCATTTTATGTTCCTGTTATTGGAGTATGATGGAAGTACTTCTGCATGTTTTCAGGTTATCACTGCTGCAGGTAATGTTAAACATGATGACATTGTTGAGCAGGCAAAGAAGTTGTTTAATAAGGTATCAACTGACCCTACAACGACAAACATGTTGGTCGCTAAGGAACCAGCCTCTTTTACTGGTTCTGAGGTGGGTTCTGCAATTTTCGTTCTATACTTAATTGTGCTATTTGTCATGAACACATTATCTCATCATTGTATGCTTCTCGATAGGTTCGAATCATTGATGATGACATGCCCCTAGCTCAATTTGCTGTTGCTTTCAATGGAGCATCATGGGTAGATCCTGATTCTGTTGCACTGATGGTTATGCAATCAATGCTTGGTTCATGGAACAAGAGTGCTGGTGGAGGAAAGCACATGGGGTAAGTTTCACTCTTTTTTCTCGTTCTTTCTTTTTGCCATCATGTGTACAGGCCTGATCCTCATTTTTCCATATTCTGTTACTGATCATATCTTTGTTATGTTACGTTGCTTTACTGTTTACAGTTCAGAGCTTGTACAGAGGGCAGCAATCAATGACATTGCTGAGAGTGTAATGGCATTCAACACAAATTACAAGGACACTGGTCTTTTTGGTGTCTATGCTGTTGCTAAGGTTAGTGTTGTATTTCTACCTTTGATAAAGTTGATATAAATTGCCTGAAATAATATTTTATCCTATACATTTTGTGCCGTTCTCATGAAAGAAATGTGTACCCACAGCTATTTTATTTGTTAAAATTCCTTGAATGGTAAGATAAATAAACAGGCCTTAGATACACAGTCCACATTCTCTAGATATGTTTTTAGTGTTGTTGTGCCTTTTCTTCCTATTAAACTCTCCCGGCTCACACAGACTTGTATCTAAGTGGCACACAAGGTGTTGCAGCTGGGTCTGTTAGTGACAACAATGTTGTTGGGACGAATTCTAACCCCTTACACTTAGTGGAAACAAGTTATTAACATTTTGTATTGACCATTGCTCTGATAGCTTTTGATGACAAAAGTTGGTTTCATTCTGAATTTCTGATCTTTATTTACATACCAAACTGAAGGTCCTTTCTTCTCCGTGTAAACAATAAAAGAGAGGGAGCTTTGTTTCCTACTTCAATTTAAAATATTGGGCCCCCATGCAAGGTTCTTATGTCGTCGCCTAGGCGCCTAGTCGTTTGGGCGGTTTTTGAATCGTGGCATCGCGCTTGCCACGGCCTCCGCAAGTATGGCGTCGCCTCCCGCGAGAAGTTGTTGCCATGGCATTGGATGGCTTGGGGCGGACGCTGCAGGAGCCGAAAGGGACTGTGCGCGGAGGGAAATGAGCGCGCGGGAACGGAGCGGGAGTTACGCTCGCGCGGGAAAGGAAAGGGAGTCGCGCGTGGGGGAAGTTGCACGGAAAAAGAGGAAGGCATGGGAGGGCAGCCGGAATCGTCCGCCTACAACTCCAGCGAGGAGGCACTCATCCTGCAGGTGCGGACTGAGAGGCAGGAGGGAAAGGGAGGAAGGGGAAAGAGGAAGGTGCGCCTGGAGTCCGGCGGGCGGCCTGCCCCCTCGCGATTCGGCTTTGCTCAGCCGCCTGCCTTCTTCCATCAGTCGCCTGCCTTCCGCTTCCCACCGTCGCTCCACGATTCCGCCTCCCTCTGTGACCCCACCTGTTCTGCCCGCTGATCCGCGCCTCCAACCTCCGCTCCGCCCACTGGTGCGTGTTCCTCCTTGGCTCTGCTCTGCTCTGCTCTGCCTTCCTCTGATCGTCGCCTATGTTCTTTGCTAGTTTGCTCTGCTCCTTCCTCTCCACTTTGTCGTCTGTGTGCTCTGCTCTGCTCTGCTCCTTCATCTCCACTTTGTCGTCTGTGTGCTCTGCTCTGCTCCTTCCTCTCCACTTTGTCATCTGTGTGCTCTGCTCTGCACCTTCCTGTGCTCTGCTTTGCTCTTTCCCCTCCTCTTTGTCGCCTGTGTGCTCTCTGCTCTGCTCCTTAGATAAGGTTGCTAGGACTTGGTTGGTTGCTGGCTTGCTGCTTGTGCTAGATTCCTATGTGGTTGACTGGTGGTGTTTGGCTCTTCTCTGCTCTGCAGCCAACAAGGCAACAACACAATGGAGACCGGGAGAGGCAAGAGTTGGGTGTTATGTCGTTAGTAATTAAGTTGCTATGTCATTAGAGACTAATTTGCTGCTATTGAGATATTTCATATTTGCTACTTTGTGCACTAGTACTCTAGTAGCACTAGTTATTATGGGATTAAATCTTGTGGCATTATATATTATAAGATGTTTGTATGGCATCGCCTCGCTGCGCGCCTTAAACGCCTAGGTGTCTGGAAGGAGGTGACTCGCCACGCCTTACCTTACCGCCATAAGAACCTTGCCCCCATGTACTTGGTAAATCTACTGCAAAATATTAAAACTAATAAGACTTCTATTTGTGTGTTAATGTAGCTTGCCCATCATGTAGTTCAATGCTGAATCAAATTTCAGTTCCCACTAATATGTTGTGAACCTTAATTTTTGCTTATGCAGTGGTACTGTAATCTTGTGATGTTGCTCTTATGCAATAGCATGCCTTCCTTTTCCTAACGATCATTGATCTTACGCGACCTTGCAAACTTGGTTTTTCAGGCTGATTGCTTGGATGATTTGGCTTTTGCAATTATGCATGAGATGAGCAAATTATCATATCGGGTTACGGAAGAAGATGTTATCCGTGCACGTAATCAGGTAATGCTTGAAGTTGTTATGGGAGAACATTGTCATACCTGTATTGTATCTCAGTTTACTCAGACACTGCATGCTACAAAGCATCATGTATGCTGTCCTCTTTCTTTTGGGCTCGAGAGACAATCATAGCCTTATGATAATTTTTTCATTGATATGCTGGCATATGTGATTCATCCTTAGAAAATTTTCAGCCTAGTATCACATGTTCATTGCTTTGTGATGACAATTTCAGCTGAAGTCCTCAATCCAACTCCACCTCGATGGTTCAACTGCTGTTGTCGAGGACATTGGCCGTCAGGTATTATCTTACTCCATTGTTTTGATGTCTAAAAACAATTATGTTATGCCAAATCTTAGTACTCAGCACCTGGTACCTTACTTTCGTTCCCCTGTTGTGCCAGCTGCTGACCTATGGCCGAAGAATTCCTACTCCCGAGCTTTTTGCAAGAATAGATGCTGTTGATGCAAGCACTGTGAAGCGTGTTGCAAATCGCTTCATCTTTGATCAGGTACTGTTTTGCCAACCTACAACCTATTGTCCTGTAGAATTTTCAGCATCTGTATGCTTCCTTCTCTGGTGAATTGCTAAAATCTAGCCCAATTTTTCGTTTGTTGATTCCAGCTTTCATTATCTAAGATGTACCCTTTTTGTTGTGAATATTTATATCATGCTGTTTTTGTGATAGACCTCTAGTGATAGGAGTGTTCTCCGAACATTTTCATGTTGTGCTGCTTATGCCTACAACCAATCAATTGGATGATTTAAGACAATCAGATCTCTTCAGCGTGAAGTTCAATGCTAGGCTTTTACTTTGTCATCAGTTTGGGAAAAATAGAACTGTGTTATTTGAATTATTTGATATCAAGCTTGAGAAAACAACATTTCAGTTTGTATGCTTTTTGTTTCAGGATGTTGCTATTGCTGCAATGGGACCAATCCAAGGACTTCCAGACTACAACTGGTTCAGACGCCGGACCTACATGCTCCGTTACTAGTTCTATCTGTCAGGTGTACCATGTTTACGGTCTGCATAGACAAGATAAAATTTGCCACTTTTGGCGTCAGTATATTATAAGTCCTCAGCACTGCACATTACGTGCTGGATGGAGGAATTTTTTGAGAATTTGTTTTATTTCTTGTCTTGTCCAGATCTGTCAATAAATGATAGGCAGGTTCGACTGACGTGGCTGACTTGGGTGGCCACCCGGTGTTGTTTTTACAATGAATCATGACCCTTAACGTTCCATTTTTTGTTGGAAGGTTTTACTTTGGCGAATAATTTTATGGAGCTGGTTATATGTGAAGTTGGTACTGTTTAGCTTCCTTGTCATACGATGGCAACTGAGCAAAGTTGTGATGGACTGATGGGTTGTTTTTTGCACGTTTTATGTTCTCTTGTCTTATCAGCTGTATTTTTTCAGCGAAGGAATAATATTTTTATTTCATAACAAATCAGTGAATAGTATTTTTCAGCTTTGCTTATCAGCCAAGCGAACAACAGAACAGGGTTGTTGTGGGTTTCACCTAGCATTCGTGGGTTATGCTTTCGTGGTGTTGCAAGATATTGTCGGTAGACAGGCGGGTGGGTTATGCTTTCGTGGTGTGGGTTTCACCTAGCATTCGTGGGTTATGCTTTCGTGGTGTTGCAAGATATTGTCGAGGTAGACAGGCGGGCTCAGCTTGTGTGGTGGCACCGGAAGCCTCGACTCCTTTCCCGTGTCCATATCAATCCTTCATGCTTCATAGCATGATGACTACCCCCCCATGACGACATCGGCACTCGCAGCGGTCCCTTGCCTGGCGCGGCCTCCTCCGTAACGTGGAGGGTGGTGGCCTTTGCCTGGCACAGCCTACTTCCCAAGAGCAAGCGTGTTGAGGCGGAGGAGAAAGAGAGGAGAAACCTGTAATGTAAGCATCATATGTATAAAAACTATTTTTTTTGAGACAGACGTGTGGGCTATAAGTCATCTAACTATTATACAAGTTGGCTACATATGCTCAGCTAATTTTTTTTTGTAGGAGTCATATTATGTACGGATCAACTAAGAATACTCAGCTACATATGCCAACAACGTACTTCCTCCGTCCCAAAAGTAAAACGTTATGAGATTCATGATAGTCAATGTTTTTTTAAGTTTGATTAGATTTGTTAAAAATAATAGTAACATCTATAACTCTGAATAATTTTGTTATGAAAATATATTTAGTGATTTATCAAATGATGTTAATTATGTATCGTATTAATACTTTCTTAAATATATTATATATCAAAGTTAAAACGTTTGACTTATCTATGGGGAACGGCCGGCTGATCGAGGTTCAGTACCTCCTCCTGAGTGGTTAGAGTTCGAGACCTAAGGGATTCATTCTCGTTTCTTTGGCTACGGCGACCGGGAGGAGAAAAAACTCCCTCGTCTGCCCCACATTCAAAGCACACATCTATGGCCAGCTTATCTTACGGTGCAGCTCCGTTGTGTAAGGAGGCGGGACAAGGTTCGAATTTTTTCTCGATCTACGTGAAAAGATTCTTTTGTTGACCTAGAATACCCAGGGCTGTCTAGCCGCCACCGAGATTGAGTTTTTTTTTTTTATAACTTACTTATTTGTGGGTGGGACCGAGGGAGGGAGTACTAGGCTACTTCCATGGTTTCCCTTCCTGCAAAGCAAAGGCAAAAGCGCAAAACTAACCAAACCCGTCTTTAGCCTTCAAACCGAGCTCCTCCCCCATCCCCAAAGTCACCAAGTCGTAACTCGCAACCCTCGCCCTTCTCGATGTCGTCCGCCGCCACCGGCCCAGCCCCTCCGGTGGCTACTCCGATGGCGCCCCCTCCGTCCTACCCGGCCTCCTCCACGGCCTCCGCCTCCGTCGCCACGTCCGTCGAGGACGACGACGACCTCTACGGCCGCCTCAAGTCTCTCCAGCGCCACATGGAGTTCGTCGAGATCCAGGAGGAGTACGTTAAGGACGAGCAGAAGAACCTCAAGCGCGAACTCCTCCGTGCGCAGGAGGAGGTCAAGCGGATCCAGTCCGTACCGCTCGTCATCGGCCAGTTTATGGAGATGGTCGACGGCAACAACGGCATCGTGGGCTCTACCACGGGCAGCAACTACTACGTGCGGATCCTCAGTACCATCAACCGCGAGCTGCTCAAGCCGTCAGCGTCCGTCGCGTTGCATCGTCACTCCAACGCTCTAGTCGACGTGCTGCCGCCCGAGGCCGACTCCAGCATCTCCTTGCTGGGATCGTCGGAGAAGCCCAACGTCACCTATAACGTAAGTTTATCCTTGAATTGCCGGATTCGCATGAAACCCTTGGTTAATTTGACTTCTTATTATGTTTCTGATGATAAATCACTTGGTCGTTACTTTGTTATCCCGAATCATATGTGCTTATTAGTTTATACATCCGTCAGGTTGGACCCTAGATCTTTCTATGTTTCCATTTGCTGTAGAGTTCTGCTTCTTCATTGGTCAAGCTCCACATATCTGTCGATGTTATTGATTGCAGTTGGCGTAAAATTACATATTTGGGTCTCCAATCGTCGCAGATTTGGGACTCCAAACGCCGACTTCGTAAAAATAGGCTTCCAAACATTTGACACTTGATTTTCTTGCCATTCTATGTATTTTCTTCCTTTTCTAGTATTCTTTCATGTATTTAGCACCTAGATGGACGTATTTGCCCTTCTGTGATTCGTGCACGGTTACATAGAGGAGAGGTAAGCTGACCGCTGCCGTTTCTGGCTGGTAGGCAGGCAGGCTGGCCGCCGCCCTTCCAGGCAGGCAGTAGGCCGCCGCCGCCCTTGCTGGCTGGTTGGCAGGCAGGTGGCCGCCGCCGCCTGAGCTCCGCCTGCCTCGCTGCCGCCACCGCCATGGCTGCCGGTGCCGCAGGCTCGGGATCGCGGTGGGCGGCAGCAAGATGAAGGTCGGGATCGCGGTTAGGGCGACTCGACTCGAAACGTCGACCTCCACGTACGTGGTGCCAAATCCTAATTACACAGAAGGGTACAAGAGTCTTTTTAGGTATCAAATACAAAGAAAAATACTATAAAAGAAAGGAAATACACCAAATGGCATGGAAATCAAATGTCAAATGTTTGGAGGCCTATTTTTACGAAGTCGATGTTTGGAGTCCCAAATCTGCGAAGCACGATTATTGGAGTCCCAAATATGCAATTTTCTCCCTAGTTACGGTATACAATTAGGCCAAATCTATTTTTGAGAACTTGCAAAAGGCCGCATCTTTTCCTATTATCGTTACTAGCAAACAGTGTCCATGTGATTCAACGGAACACACATGTTATTGTGCACACCTGAATGACTCGTGGCTCGTATATTTATATTATGGTCCCGTCATCAATATGTATTAGAATTGGATTCCGTACCGTCACTGGATGCACCAAAACACACGGTTCTGACTTGTATAATTAAGGGTCATGAGTCTTGTCCCAGACGAGACAAAGAGAAGTGCAAGGGCATTGTGGGAAGTAAAAAAGACTGGACGGAAGAATCACTAAAGTTTTAAACGACATCAAATCAGTCAACATGGAGGACCACAAAAAACAAGTTTTCGAGCATGCCCTCAAACAACAAAATGGGGATGGTTTCACTTGGTTCTGTGCCAATTTGTAGATAATAGCAGGTTTTATTACGACCTCAATAGATGAGTTATGGAAAATGGTGGAAATTTGTGCAGAAACTGGTTCAATTTTCATGTAAAATATCATGGTTCTGCTGCAATGGAAACCATATTGATTTCTTCTTTTTTGTAGGTTCAGTGGATTTTAAGTCTACATGCCGCATTAACGTTGGATCTGTGCTTCATTTGTTTTAAGAATTTCTTTGAATAGGAAACAAAATATGGTTCATTGCGGTTTTGTTTTGGCATCTAAAATGAAATGTTTCTCGTAATTTCTTGAGCCAATTCCTTACAAGCCACTAGAAAAGTTTTGAATTCCGTCTTGACCACTGAAAAAATTCATGTCTTCTGTGCCATCATTTCATTTTTTGCACCCTTCTATGCCACTGCCGTCATGCTCTGGAGTAACGGTCCTAACTAAAGGACGAAATGCCCATTTTACCCTCAAATGAATGTGGCCATGGATGTTTGGCCTCATTGCAACATTGGCAGTGGTAAGAACCAGAGAACAGGAGAAGCAAGATTGCAAGAATGGATAAGACTAGTGATTCATCATCAACATGAACGACCACATGAACTGGAGAAGCAAGTTGTAGACGGCCCTGACGCCTCCCTCACTCTTCTCAAGCGGATCTCCATCTCAAAACTCTAGAGCGGACGCTCCGTAGGTGGAGCAGGTAGGATGGCAGATTGATGGGAGCAGAGGGGGAGTGGGGAAGATGAGAGAACGAGTGAAGATGAAACAGACTCTAGGCCTCCAGTCATAGCTGGGGTTAAAATGGTCATTTAAAAAAAACTGACATCCACGTGTGTCGTAACGGCATCTTCAACAGACAAGACAACAGTGGCATAGAAGGGTCAAGGGTGTTAAAAAAATTTGAAATGATGGCATAAATGACATGAACTTTTTCAGTGGTCAAGACGGAATTTGGAACTTTTCTAGTGGCTTGTAAGGAATTGGCTCTAATTTCTTGAGGTATATCTATGCATTTAATTTCAGTGCATTACAATTTTTTGCTTTCTTATGGTGTGCAGGATATTGGAGGATGCGACATCCAAAAGCAGGAAATACGGGAGGCGGTTGAGTTACCCTTGACTCATCATGAGTTGTACAAGCAGATTGGTATTGATCCTCCAAGAGGTGTGCTTCTGTATGGTCCTCCGGGTACTGGCAAGACCATGCTTGCCAAAGCAGTCGCATATCACACCACTGCTGCTTTTATCAGAGTCGTCGGTTCGGAGTTTGTACAGAAGTACTTGGGTGAGGTAAGTTGGGAGCTATTACAATCCCAATATGAATTCCTTTGGTTTGGATATAAAATGTAGTGATTTGATGCATGTTATAAGGTTAATGAGTTATTTTATGCCCACTCATGCTTTTTGGATAATAAAATATAGTTGCTCAGTTGTTCTGGTAGCGTAGATACTGCTGTCATTGCTTTTTCGAAAATGGTTGGGGAGAAACTGATGGGTATCTATGCATCCTCTATACTGAAGTGAAAACACAAGTAGAAAGGTGTTCATAGATTCTCTAAGTTGTCTAGTACAAGCTTGAATGTGCTCTAAGCTGTGTCAAAATTGTTGCATTCTGGTTTCATGCAGTATCTGTGATAGTCCATAGAGCTATTGAATGGGCTCTTCATCTGTGTCAAAATTGTTGCATCATGCTAGCATTGGAACTGTATCTGTGATAGTCCATAAAGCTATCTCCTTAACCCAGTCTATATTGGGTACCACATATAATGTAACCAAGGTAAATGTTACTTCCCTGTTCCAAATTATAAGTTGTTCTAGCCTTTATAGACACACAACTTTTACTATGTATATCTAGACATAGTGTATATCTAGATGCCTAGCAAAAGCTATGTATCTATAAAAGCCAGAATGACTTACAATTTGGAACGGAGGGAGTAATATTTTATTATTTTTCCTGTATCATGTTTGAGTAGTATAAGCATTATGCATGTCTTAATTTTTTGTATGATTAGTGGTTATTCATAGATACTTATCATCGACATAAAAATTTGCAATTTGTTCTTTTCGGCTGTTCAATATTTGTCAGTCCTATTCTTGGCGCGTTATGATCTTTGTACTCCTTTGTAGGGCCCTAGAATGGTGCGTGATGTGTTCCGTTTGGCTAAGGAGAATGCCCCAGCAATCATTTTCATTGATGAGGTTGATGCGATAGCTACTGCTCGTTTTGATGCTCAGACTGGTGCTGACCGAGAAGTTCAGCGTATTCTTATGGAGCTACTCAATCAGGTAAAGCTTAGCTATTATAAGACCAGGATGAACTTTTAGGACTTAAAAGATTTATTATTTTGTTAGAAAACATTTAGCAACAGACCTGAAACATTGAAGAATTGGTTATTTGCAAGTTAAAATAACCAATTTTCATTATAGTATTCAATTTGAGAACTTCTATTTTATTAGAAAAGAGAGCAATGTGAAATGAATTTAGAAAACAGCTCTTATCTCTAAAAGCTAACTTGGGGAATTCCTACAGTTTCCTAGATTATAGTTCCTACTAGTTCTTTTATTTCTTGTTAGTAATGTGGTTATTTATGTTGCAGATGGATGGGTTTGATCAAACAGTGAATGTGAAGGTTATAATGGCAACTAATCGGGCAGACACTCTAGATCCTGCTCTGTTGCGTCCTGGTAGACTTGACAGGAAAATTGAGTTCCCTCTGCCAGACCGGCGTCAGAAGAGGCTTATTTTCCAAGTAAGTTATGTTTTGTGATAATGTTACAAGAGCTGAGTTATAAGTATTTGTTGATTTGTAGAGTATTACTATGGAATTATTTGAGTCTTGCTCGTTCACATGTGGTCATATCATATCACTCTTCAAAGGGATAATAACATAAGTTTAATTAGGAATAAAGAGTTCCTTTGGATACACGACCAACTTTGAGCAATCCAGATGTATGAGTTGCCTAGTGTTAATAGCTATTTATTCTACATGGTATTATTTATGGAAATAACCATGCATCCTATTACATCTGTCCTTGATACGATTGCTATAGAGTTGCTTCCTTGGTGGGCCCATGTGGATGATTTCTGAGCACTGTTAGGCCAGTTCCAGTGGGAGTTTCATTCCCATTTAATGAGGTGACCATCAGCAAAAATGATGACGTGGCATGTGGATTATGAGAGAGGATATGAGTTTTACCTAGATGAAACTCAGTGCACACCATTTCCAATGCATTGGAAATTGAGTGAAACTCCACTAGGAGCGGTTTGTTTCATCCCCGCCTGTTGGAAATTGAGTGAAACTCCACTGGGAGCATTTCATTGAAAAAAACATGCAATATTTAAATCCCTCACTCTGTGTTATGTGGGTCTATGAAACTGTGTATTGTGGGTCTTATTTAATTTTAGCACCCACACCTCACTCTTGGAAAGAGTGCACTGGGAAAGGCTTTATTGGCTTCTGTGCTATGGGTTGTACATGTAGCATTTTTCATTACTCTATCTGTGATAATTATACATGTAGTGGGATCGTCATACCAACAACAAGACTTGTGATGTATAGATATGCACCATCTTTAAATTATCTTCATGCTATAAAAAAGTACCAGTTTACTTGCTTGTTTCTGTGTTATGTTTTCTCTACCTAGGATTTACAAACAATTCCACTTTCTTTATTACAATTCTGTTTTACAAATTCGTTTGTCAACTCATGCTGTTTGGTTTTGGTTTTCTGGGCCACTAGATTTTCTTGTGTCATCTATTTTTCACACTTGATAGTTAGCTCATCTAATCTTCAGGTTTGCACTGCCAAAATGAACTTGAGCGATGAGGTTGATTTGGAAGATTATGTTTCCAGACCGGATAAGATCAGTGCTGCTGATGTGAGTCTCTTTTTTCATTGTAACGTTCTAAATTAATAATACAAATACACTTTTCATAGCGTCTGATGCCATAGTTTTTGACATGTAAATGGGTGCTTTTGTGATTTCTACTGCGTAGCTAGTACACTTATATCCTGCTCCCTCCTTTTCTTATTTTTATTAAAGGTGTATGCGCAACACAGTATTCCAAAGATTTTTAGATTGTACCATACAATTTTACTATTGTTTAATTCATATTAAAAGCACTTTCATATGATATCAATTTCATGGTTATTAGAATTATAATATAAGAGATAATAGTGTTCAGAGTGTGGTGTTAGAGACTGCACCACTTCAAGGTACACCTTGCATTTTGAAAATTTGAAAGTGAGGTAGTATTGATGAAATCTATATCCAGTAAACCTTGGATCCAATAATGCACATATTTGTTTAATGGGGATATGGCCAAACCACATTACAATGGTAATGCTTATGATCTTAGATCTTTTCTTGTTCTTAGCATGATACACCATAGTCATGTAAACACATATTAGTAAATTGTTTTCCTCCTTACCATTGCAGTAGCAGTAGATATATATTCTTAGGGCATTTGGTGATTTAAATTAGATAATACTTTTATGCCAATCACATTAGTTATTGATAATTGATTTGACGATGTTTAATGAGATAACCTTTTTTCCCCTGTCACCCTCAATGCTCCTCGCATTAGTTATGGATTATTGATTTGACGATGTAAAATCAGGTAATCTTTTTTTCCTGTCACCCTGAATGCCCCTCGCATTATGCTTTTACAGATTGCTGCTATATGTCAAGAAGCTGGCATGCATGCTATCCGTAAAAACCGATATGTCATCCTCCCCAAGGACTTTGAGAAGGGCTACCGAACCAATGTGAAGAAGCCCGAGACAGATTTCGATTTCTACAAATGAGCCAACTTGAGTGTTGAACTGGTTTCTTGTTTATCAATCGAACATCTTTTAGCACCAAGATGAAGTTTTAGGATAACTGCCAATATCACGATGTTCAACTTGCTCAATGGTGATATGTGTTCTGTAATGAATTTCTGGATAGTTTGCCTGTCGCAATGTTTATGGTGATATGCTTCATCAGATTTAGAGTCAAATATTTTTACCTAGTGAAGCTACGTGAGTGTTATGGAAGTTATGATTATTTAAGGTAGATTAACCTTTTACCGGCTCGGCGGGGCTTGGCCTTAAGCCAATCCTCATTAATCAAACTCGTAAGATTATGCACAAGATAGTGCAATCCTAACTAATCAAACTTGTAAGATTATGCACGAGATAGTAGATTGATTACCCGGGATACGAGGTTATATATATGAGAAAAATTGTTGAATGCCAGTCCACACGCTGCCCTGGGGCGCTCTCCCTTCGAGGCACTGTATGGTCATGCTCGTCATTTCGGTATTTCTCGGGACTCTATTTCCCCTGTCCCCGATGTGGCATCTATGTTGGCTGAGCGCTCCACTGTGCTCGCAGCGGTGCACCAACATTTGCTCCGTGCGCAGCAGCGCATGAAGCACCAGGCAGACAAGCGCGGCTGTGAGCCGTCCTTCAACATCGACGATTACGTCTACTTGCGCCTCTAGCCGTAGATCGTCGATAAGATCAACGAGCGTACAATCAATTTTGGTTTAATAGTACATCCCAATAAAGAACGACTTGTTCAACTTATCCCTTTCAACTTGGATATTGTGAGGCGGACCTTGGAAAGTTTTTGAATAAGTAGGGGGAATTTGTAGATCTTCCAAACGTAGAGCGTGTAATGCTTTTAAACAAAATACGTTGCCCACAATGAAAATAAACAGGTTAGTAACAGAACCTTCTTCAAATAGGTCTAATGGATAAGTTACATAACAGATATATTGATCTGCCTCCCCAGGAACGGACTCGATGTGATAGCATTGTCCTTTGTAACGATCAAAACTAGTAAGTCCATCAGTCCAAACAATTGTACATGTACCAGTAGAAGATTCCGCAGCTAATGCAACCACTGCTTCTTCAGGTGGAACCCCGGGCTAAGGAATTACTCGAAATGCTACCAAGATAGCTCTGTTCGGCTGGTATTAAATCGGATTTGCTGATTTGTACGGCTAGTTTGTTATGAGAGAAAAACACTGTTCCACAGCTGATTTGTACGGATTAAAGCCGGCTGAATAGCACAAGTGAACAGGCTATCAGTATCCTTGGTTTTGTACTCCGGGGTGTAGTAAGTCAATTTAAAATAATTAACACCAGCTTTAAATCTAACATTTGCTTTTAGTTTCTGTTTGTGATGACATAAATCTCTCCCTATAACTCATGAATTAAGAATTCTCACGGCGACATCGACGACTATGTCTACTAGCGCCTCTAGCCGTAGATCGTCGATAAGATCAACGATAAGATCCTCCGCACACCCGGTCTTCCACGCTTCTTGCTCAAGCCTGTCGGATCCAGCAGGGGGTCCCCCTACCCATCCCAAACAAAGTGCAGAGTCCCTATGAATTTTTAGGCAAAGTTTTATAGTGTAGTGTAGGGAGACTTAAGATCGAACGTATATTTCCTTCCGCTCTGCTGCCGGTGACCTCTTCCTCGCCAACGATCTTCGCTTACCTTCCCGAGCCTGACGACGCCTATCAAGTACCAGAACGAGTGCTGTTGGATCCGTGCCTCAGCTCCTGATCAAATGGTCAGGCCTCTGACAACAGCCTCGACACATGGAAGATGAAGTCGCTATCCGCAGCGTTTCCCCGCTGCGGCATGGGGACATGCCGCCGCCCAAGGAGGAGGGGATGTCAGCAGCCCACACCCAGGTGATGCAGCTGTTGCTGCCAAGCCCAGGAAGTAAGGAAGAGCTAAGTCCAAGAATGTGCGTCTGAGTAGGCCTAAGTGAGCTGGTAACACTTGTAATGCGAGGCCCACGAGAGGAGAGGATAAGTAGACTGGGAGAGAGAAGCTGTAATCAAGTTAAACCTAAGAACAATCCAACTCTTCTATGGAACCGGCCCTATGCCGGCGCTTTATCCTCTCCTCTGTCCCTGCTCTGCTCTTCTTCCTCCTATCCGATTCTCTCCAAGCGTCACAACAATCGCTGGGGCTAACATGGGGTCAAGCGGCGACCGAAGGTGGATGCGAAGACCGACATGTGCTGCGTCATCCGCGCCGCCGCCATTTTCTTCATTTTCTTTTCACGACGATCGAATCCCGTCTGCTGTAAGCAGCAGCCGAGGAGGCGCGTGCGGTGCCCCTCACCTTGGTTCAGACATACTCCTTCCATCCCAAAATAATGTTGTTCTCGCTTTTTGATGAGTTAAATGCTTTTACCTTTAACCAACTATATATAAGAAAATATAAATATTTATGGTATATAGTTAGTATCATTAGATATATTGTTGAACCTATTTTTATAATAAACTAATTTGAAGATACAAAAGTTGTTAATATTTTTTATAAATTTAGTCAAGTTTAGTTTAGTTTGGCCGGCACGAATAGCATTACGACACTTATTTTCGGATGAAAGGATTAGCTCGCGGAGGAAGACCGGGTCGGTGAAGCGGCGAAGCCACCGGCGGCATGTCAAGGCGAAAGTCCTTGAGGTTGCCCACGCGGGAGAAGATCCCGTGGAGGACGTGCTCCGGCAAAGCCGAGATGCCGCCGCCTGTGCATGTCCGCCATCTCTTAGCAGCTGCGTCCGACATCCGTGTAATGTAATTCTTCCTGCAAGCTCGCGAACCTTTTTACATACACATACAGAGAAAGTATATAAGACTAGGAACAGGTAGCAAATCAACCTCAGGAGTCAGGGAGGGAGGAGGACAGTCTGTTCCCGATGCTTACCAGGATAGGATAGAGCAACGCGCGGAGACACGGTACCTCCTCGTCGGTGACGCCGGGAATCCGGACGACGGACCCGCTGGGCGCCTCTCCTCTCCTACCTACTGTATCTGTATTCTAAGGGCAGCTCCAATGATGTATTGATGATAGTTTCTATTCTTATTAAATGATTTGCCACGTAGGTAAAACGTTGACATGGCAACGTAATTAATGAAGAAAGAGAGCAAAAATTCTAGAAATGGTTTCCTCGTGAAGAAATCAGGTCTTCTATTGACCCAATGCACCAAAAAACCATGAAATCGTCATTGGGGAGAAACCACCAGTTTGCAGGAGGCTCGTGCCATACTCCTATTGAAGGAAGAAGATAGAGTTAGGAGAGAGAAAGAGAAAATAATTATTACACAAAGACATCTTCACCATGGAAGGTAGTTTCTATAGATAATTTCTTGCCAAGCCCAGGAAGTAAGGAAGAGCTAAGTCCAAGAATGTGCGTCTGAGTAGGCCTAAGTGAGCTGGTAACACTTGTAATGCGAGGCCCACGAGAGGAGAGGATAAGTAGACTGGAAGAGAGAAGCTGTAATCAAGTTAAACCTAAGAACAATCCAACTCTTCTATGGAACCGGCCCTATGCCGGCGCTTTATCCTCTCCTCTGTCCCTGCTCTGCTCTTCTTCCTCCTATCCGATTCTCTCCAAGCGTCACAACAATCGCTGGGGCTAACATGGGGTCAAGCGGCGACCGAAGGTAGATGCGAAGACCGATATGTGCTGCGTCATCCGCGCCTCCGCCATTTTCTTCATTTTCTTTTCACGACGATCGAATCCCGTCTGCTGTAAGAAGCAGCCGAGGAGGCGCGTGCGGTGCCCCTCACCTTGGTTCAGACGTACTCCTTCCATCCCCAAAAAATGTTGTTCTCGCTTTTTAAGGAGTTAAACGCTTTTATCTTTAACCAACTATATACAAGAAAATATAAATATTTATAGTACATAGTTAGTATCATTAGATATATTGTTGAACCTATTTTCATAATAAACTAATTTAAAGATACAAAAGTTGTTAATATTTTTTATAAATTTAGTCAAATTTAGCTAAGTTTGGTCGGCACGAATACCATAACGACACTTATTTTCGGACGAAAGGAGCAGCTCGCGGAGGAAGACCGGGTCGGTGAAGCGGCGAAGCCACCGGCGGCATGTCAAGGCGAACATGAAGAGGTCCTTGAGGTTGCCCACGCGGGAGAAGATCCCGTGGAGGACGTGCTCCGGCAAAGCCGAGATGCCGCCGCCTGTGCATGTCCGCCATCTCTTAGCAGCTGCGTCCGACATCCGTGTAATGTAATTCTTCCTGCAAGCTCGCGAACCTTTTTACATACACATACAGAGAAAGTATATAAGACTAGGAACAGGTAGCAAATCAACCTCAGGAGTCAGGGAGGGAGGAGGACAGTCTGTTCCCGATGCTTACCAGGATAGGATAGAGCAACGCGCGGAGACACGGTACCTCCTCGTCGGTGACGCCGGGAATCCGGACGACGGACCCGCTGGGCGCTGGATATAATAAATAAATCTGTCTCCTCTCCTACCTACTGTATCTGTAGTATAAGGGCAGCTCCAATGGTGTATTGATGATAGTTTTCATCCTTATTAAATGACTTGTTACGTAGGTAAAACGCTGATATGACAACGTAATTAATGAAGAAAGAAAGCAAAAATCCTAGAAATGGTTTCCTCATGAAGAAATCAGGTCTTCTCTTGACCCAATGCACAAAAACCATTAAATCATCATTGGGGAGAAACCACCAGTTTCTAGGGGGGCTCGTGCCATACTTCTATTGAAGGAAGAAGATAGAGTTAGGAGAGAGAAAGAGAAAATAATTATTACACAAAGACACCTTCACCGTAGGAAGGTAGTTTCTATAGATAATTTCTTGTACTATGAAAACCACATCAGTCTTTTTTCATTGGGACTGCCCTAATGTGGCCATCAAAATATATGGAAGGTAATCATACCCTGATCCTTCCTAATTTTCTGGGAACGGGGGGTGTAAGCCACGCAGCCGATGATGATGGCTGGCGTCGTGATTGGTGCGCCCTC